ATAGTCACATTAAATTTCTTAATATGAATAATATGACTTTGAGGATAAGACTCCTGCATGAGTTGGGGGTGGGGTGGGGACCATAACACCCAGGATCCACTTTGTTACATTTAATTGTTTGGGTTTTCTGTAATAAGCATGCATTGCATTTATAAAGTAGATGAAAGCCCAATTAACCATTCTTTTAAATGAAGGTAGAGATGCACAAGGCAGTACAGCATAGTGGAAAGGACATATTTCCTGGTGGTGGACATTCTCAGATTGGGTCCAATTCATTACTGCTTTTCCACTTAATATGCTAAGATTTCAGTAATACCAATATGAGTGTATAGTTTCACCACCTATAAAACAGATATTAACACATAATTTGGAGACTAGTTCATTGGTAGAGTACTGTGTTAGTTACTTTTCTCTCATTGCTGAGACAAAACATCTGACACCCAAAGTTAAAGGAGGAAAAGTTTATTTAGCTCACAGCTTGCAGAGGTTTCAGTCTATAATCAGCTGGCTCCAAGGCAGGGTGGGACATGGCAGAGGGGTGTCACTGAAGAGAAGCAGTTCATGGTGCCCACAAGGTAGCAAAAGCAACAAGGGACCTTAACAGCATCTTCCTGCCCGTTTAATCCAGACTACTTAGGTGAGTCACACTCACACCCTTAATTCTGATGCTTTCAGGCCTAGCATTGCACCATGAATCACACACTCTAGCTTCAGCCACCTCTGAAATAGTAATACCTCATTCGAATGAGACTTTGGGGAGACATCTACACAGAATCCATAACACGCACTCATTTAGTGTGCATGAGGCCCTGAGTTCAATCTCTACCATGGACACCCCCTCAAAAAAAATATATATATTTATTTATTCCCCCCCCTTCCCTATGGGATTAAAAGTAAACTTATGTGAAGTGCCAGGGTTCAGTGTTAATAGAGATTGTAGCTGTGATAATCTGGCCCTGAGATGTATCAGCACAGAGAGCAGTCACTCCAGTTGGAGACCACATTTGTGAAGCTGAGGAAGGTGTCACAGGTAAACAGGCTTTGGGCTGGACAGTAGAGGTGCAGGAGTGCCAGCTCAGGAAGACTGGGGTGACAGCAAGGAGGCCAGGAGCAGAAAGGCTAGGACAGTTTGAAGTATGCTGCCTTCTCCTGCAGGCACTGCAAATACTGCTCTAGGTCACGGACTCTGACTGTGGGACACACTGGAAATTTGCCACAATCCTTGGGAACCTGCAGGGCGTCCTGGATTGTTCCTTCCTGCCCAACTAACATGCATTTATTGGTCGTGGCTACTGTGACTTTTTCTGGGATTCAAAGTGGGCTCATCTGTAGTAAAATAGAGAAATATGTGAGTACTATATTTCCTCCTATTCTCTACCGGATCGCTCTGGGCAGAGCTCCCCAAGAAACAAGGCCTGGGGAAGTATCAGGTCCTGGCTGTGTGGGATCCTGGTATCACATACAGGATTTCTTCTTTCCTTTTGCAGTCAGCCCCAGCTGAGATGAAAGCTGTTAGCAGGTCTGAAAAACAGTGTTTCTGAGGAGCATGACAATCCCATCTCTTTGAAATGAAAATTATTGTCTACAGCCATATCACCCTAAACGTGTTGCCCAATCTCGTTTGAACTGAAGATAATAAATTCAGAAAATTGAACAACAAAATTAAAATACATCCTTTTTCCCCCACACAGGCTTGTTCTCTAGATCTTTTTCTTCAGTTTAGTTCTTTCATTTGAATGATTACAGTTCTCTCTGTGCTTTCTCTTGTTAACACATTGTTCTTAAACATGTTTCACACCTCCCCAGGGACTCAGGATATCTGCTGAAATCTGGGTTGCTCTGATGCATGTCTGCGTGTAGGTGCCAGCTTTCTCTCTCAGCAGTGTTATGTGGGGAGGGACACACAGGAGCTGTGATTCTAAACTAGCTATACGCAGGGCATTTTTCAGAGCTGGGGCTGCCAGGCCAAATACAGTATAAGAGTGTCCCAAACATTGCAAAATAGTATTCATTTGAAATCATATTTAACTGGGATTCTCTTTTGTTTCATTCTTTTCTTTTTTCTTCTTGGTACTAGGGATTGAACTCAGGACTTTTGCACTAAGCTCTGTGCCCAGCCCCTTTGTTTTATATTTTATTTTGAAACAGCATATTGCTGAGTTGCACAGGGTGGGCTCTAACTTGTGATCTTTCTGCCTCAATCTTCCGGGATGCTGGGATTACAGATACGTACCACCACAGTTGGTGGGAATCCTCCATTTTTATTTGCTAAATCCGGCCAGGCTTCTCATACCCACTCCTCTGCCTTATGTGAGATAGGACCCTTTCCTGCAAGGAGCCCAGGCCCTTTCTTATTGCTCTCTACTCAAAGCTGTGACGACCTAAGCCACCAGTGACCACGTGTTATGGTGCAAACATTACATTTATTTTAAAATTGTAAAGACATTCTTATAATACATAAGGTATAAAAGTCTATTTGTTTTTTTCAAATCTATCTCTCTCAGCCCTCTGCCCTACTCATAGCAGATGTTAACAGTTTCTTGTGTAGTCTTCCTGAGATGTTTTATATATTTGCAAGCATATTTGTCCTTAGGTATTTTTCCACCCCATCGCTTTTCCCACAGTGATGAGTACAATTGGTCCAGTGTATCCTTAAGTTCTAAATCTGCAGGTTCAATTAAAATATAAAAAATATTCTGGAAGAAAGTACTGGCTCTAAATTGAACAGGTCTTTTTTCCTGTCATGTTCCCTAAACAATAAAGTGTAACAACTGTTACATAGTAGTTACATTGTATTAGATATTATAAGACATCTAAATGATTTACAACGTGTATGAGGATTGCATAGATTATATGTGAATACTGCACTGTTTTATGTAAGGGAGGTGACTGGATTCTGGTATCTGCAGGGGATCCTGAATTAATACCCATGGATACTAAGGAACTACTGTACTCCGTCCAAGTCCTGATGATTTACCCTTATGTTTTCTTCTCATGGGTTTATAGCTTTTGTGTTTGAGCGTGGGATCCATTTGGAGTTAATTTTTATAGGCAGTATGCAGGAGGGGTGGCATTTCCTTCTTTATTTTCTTTCTTTTTTCTTTAAAATGGTCTCACTGTGTAGCTCAGGCTGGCTCCCTATGTAGCCCAGGCTGGCCTTGGATTTATAGTAATCCTGCGGGCTCAGCCTTCTGAGTGCTGGGATTATAGGTATGTACCACCATTCCCAGCTGGTATTTTATTCTTTTCACATTGCTCTCTGCAGCATTGTAGAGCAGACTACTTCACTGAATTGTCTTGGAACCCCTGTCAAAAAATCAATTGCATATTTTTTCACAGTGCTTTTGTGGTTTTACTATTACACTAGGAAGTTATTCTGGTGTAAGGTCTGAGGTATGAATATGACTCAGTATTTTTTCCAAGTGGCCACCATTTCCATCCACCTGTAAATATGTATATATATATATATATTTTTTTTTCCCCCTCCCTGAATTGAGATGCCATTTAAAACCATGTCCTGTGGTGGTCTAAGTAAGTGGATTCATTTCTGAAATATCTACCATTTGGTGCTCTATCCTATTTTAGTAATTGTTGCTTTATAACATGTTTCGTTGTATGATTGAACTATTTTTTTCTCAGTTTTCTTTTCTTTCATTTTTCAGCCTTCCTTTCTTGTTTATTTTCCCATGTAAACTTATCAGTTGTCTTACTTCCTTACCCTCTGAATAAAAATTGGATGTGGTTGCATACATTTGTAGTCCTGTCTATTTGGGAAACTGAGGCAAGGAGATTGCTTGAGCCTAGGAATTCAAGGCTATCCTGAGCCTGAGACATAGCCAGACTCTCTCTTAAAAATATTATTTTCTTACATTCTTACTTCATTCCTTTCAGACAGCTTGTCAATTTGGTTGCTGATATATGTGATTTTTCTGCATAGTATTGCTTGTTTGCCATCATGAATTTGGGAGGATGCAGCATTGTGGAGAGTGCTTTTGTCTGTGTATCTGTGTGCCTGTGTGGTAGGGACCAAGCTGAGGGCCTTGTACCTGCTGAGCACATGCTCTACCCCTAGGCTGTGCCCCAAATCCCTGCATGGTGTTTGGGGAAACTCTTCAGAGCCGGACACTGGCTCTGCTTGGCTGATGTTTCTACACATGCCATGACATGTTTCCTGCCTGGTATTGTCCAACTGCAATTGTGAGACGTCCTGATGTCAGAGATAAGGGTGAGATCTGTAGTAAACAATCAAACAAAGTATTGTATGTGCCATCTTCTCCTAGGTCTGGGCTTGGAGAGACAGAATAGACAAGTGGACAGTGGCCAGGCCATAAAGAAAAGTAGACCTCTGCTCCATGGCCTGTAGTGATTTGCTCAGCAAACTTCTCATCTGCAATAACCCACCCAGGAAACCAGATTGCTGTAATAATTTTGGAAGCTAAATAAATTTTGCAAGAATTAGTCCCATATGACTAGGCCTTCATGCGTAATTGACAGCTTCCCTAATTTTTATCCCCTCTCCCACCTTAGGAACAACCAGAGAAAGCCAAATCTGCTTCCTTAGCTGGTACGCTGGGTGACCTCTTCTAGGAGACTGCCACAGTGCCTGCTCCAGCCCCAGCAGCCTCCAGGCACCGCACACCTGCAGCCCTTACACTGTGATACTCTGACTCTTCTCGCTTTTGAGTCTCTTTCAAACCCAAGTGATGGTGACTGACTCCTTTGCTCTGAGGTGCTCTGAGTAGATAGCTTTGTTATGCTTCATGTGTTTGGGCTTTGTGTATTGTCTCAACTTGAAAGAGGAGCCAGCATAAAACCTTTACAGGTACATTTGGATGGAGACCTCTGGATGGCTGGTTGCCTGGCATGCGAGTCTGGGAGCTGGACAGGACAGCCTTCCGGTCAACATGAAAAAAATAATAGAAAGTATTTTGTATGCTTCCACATTTACCTATTCTTTTCTTCCTTTCTGTGTCTTTTCTGTTGTTTCTTTAAAATTTTAGAGGCCAAATCTGGCTCCTAAAAACATCAAAGGGAGATAGTTACCCAGTCGCTATCTCAGAAGCCTGCTGTTTACCCTGAGTGAGGCAGAATGACGCTCCCTGCAGGCACCCTCCTGTCACTGCTGCTGCTGGTGACTGCTGCAGGTAGGAATCCACTTGACACCAGTGTCTGGCTTGAGTGCCTCCTGCCTGGCATAAGCTACTCGGGCCTATCTGGAACAGAGGTGCAATGTGTTTGCTTCCAGTAGAATTGTTTTTCCATGCAAAAGCAGACCTCATGCACGAGTGATTTTCTGGAACAGGAATTTAAAATTTTAATTATCATGACTATTTTGTGGGAAAATAAAATCTTATGTATATCCCAGGAAAAATTGCATTTGTATATTTAACTACTTATCAGTCCAATTATTTTAATACAGAATGACTAAAAATTGCATATTTTTGGGCTTGGGATTTAGCTCAGTGGTTCTACCACCTGCCTCGAAAGCACAGGGTCCCAAGTTTCATCCCCAGTACCAAAAACAACAACAACAACAACAAAAATAAAATTGCATATTTTTGTTAATTTTTATAAGGTAATATATAACAGGAAATATAAAAGCTACAATTTTATCAAATTTATTCAGTAAAATTTCATGGTATAATTTAAAACATTCAATGCACAGCACGCAACATTACAATCTGGAAAACAGTATCTAGTATCTTTCCGAATTCTTTTTGCCTAGTTTTTTTTCTTTGAACAACACACTTCACACTTGTGTTGGCCTTTGTTTTTTCTGTGGTTGGTATAATTCCACAAAAATCTTTACCCACTAACTACAGTGGTGCAGATACTTATGATGGGCACCCTGTTTGATATCTCACTGTCCTGTATTTTTCAATTGTTTGGTTCTTAGATCTAATCTAAGTTGTAAATGACTTTTTGAGCCCCCTTGTTTTGAGTAAATAACAGTCGAGTTCCATACTGTTTTTTCCAGAAGGTGCATAAATATTTTAAAATAATATTTTCCATACTTTTTGATTACATGATAGCTTGTTAGGTGTTGGTCAACTCTGACACCACCACCCACAGAATCATAATCACGGGCCACTCTTGGAATGTTTTTAGTTTCATTTGTTCTTTCAAGTTCTATCATTTCTGTATTATGAATAGTTGACAGTAAAGAGATGTCCTCTTTGCCTTTCCATCTCATAACACAGGCTTTTCTTCTCTGATATGGCAACATTTCTCCCTTTTTCAGTTTTTATTTTACACATCCTTGGCACTTCCTACCTGTTCAATCTCAGTGTCCCAAATGTGTCCATTTTGTATGGTAAAAGAACATCACTGAGTTCTGGAGAAGTATAAAATTATGTCTAATATATTTACAATAAGAGTTTATCTCAATTATAGCATAAAATTGTAGGTTACTTCACAAATAAACATGAGTTAGTGAAAGAAAAAAAATGGAATTTATTATTAGATTTCACTAGGAATAAACATCAAAGATGAATATGACATCGTAAATAAAAGAGTACGCAAAAAATAGTTGATATAAAACAGACATATGAGTGTATCTCCTGCAAACAAGAATCAACTGGTTAAAAATGACACCTGCTTGAGAGACGTTTGGGATAAGTTGTTAAGTGGTTAAAAGAATTGCATAGTCAGCCAGGTGTGGTGGTCCGCACCTGTAATCTGAGCACTCAAGAGGCTGGGGCAGGAGGATCACTGTGAGTTTGGGACCAGCCTGGGCTACATAGTGAGTTCCAGGTCAGTCTCAACTGCATAGTGAGACCCTGTCTCAAAAAACAAAATAAAACAAAAACCCCCCCAAAAAACAAAATAAAAAGAACTGCAGAGTGAATCTTTCTAGGAAGATCAGAATCTCTTTATCCTGTGTCTTGCTTTTCTTTTTTTGCCTTTTTTGAGACAGGGTCTCACTGTGTAGTTGAGAATGATCTGGAACTCAGTCCAGGCTGGTCTCGAACTCACAGCGATCCTCCTGCCTCAGTCTCCCGAGTGCTGGGATTACAGGCATGCGCCACCACACCCAGCCCTGTCTTTATTTTCATGGTATTATTTTGCTTAGTGAAAACACTTGTACTTAACATCAAATCACTTGTGAGATCTGATTCTGATGGTCCCTGATGAGCTGGACAGATGATTTCAGTTGAGTGTACCAGCGATGGCAGGTGCAAAAATGGCCCAGGAAACTGTTTCTATGTGCAGAGTTTGTCAAAATGTAGGGAAGCCATAATGAGGACCATCTGACCTCCCAGAGACCCTGTTTTCAGCCTCATCCAGGCCTGCGGTATCAGAGCTTCGAGGGCCATGGCCCAGGAATGTGGGTCTTCAACCAGCAACTGGGGGTGATCCAGAAACACTCCAACTTTGGGAAGCACTGTCTTAGATAAAGCAGGGTCCACTTTAGAAAGTTCTGCAGTTGGAAAAGCCCTGCTGTGCCCCACCCACCCATCCCTCATCACTGCTTAGTGTGCAAAATAAAATGTCCTTTTTTTCACGTGTAGTCTGAAAAATATTGCTGTTAGTATTTTAGATGATGTCATTAATGTTTAGACACCCATTTTTTAAAAAACCCAGTTTCCGCTGTTTTCATTACTTTTTGTCCTTTGGAGATACTGTTTAAAATTTCACTTTCTGCATTACTGAGTCCCAGTAATGATACATGCAATTTGTCTCTCTTCTTTCTCTTTTTCTTCCTTTGTTGAATGCGAACATGGTTCCCAGGATTTTGGTGGTCTTTCAAGAGTGTGCTAGAGTATGTCTAATAGATTCTGAAGTACTTATAGAAATTTGGCTCAGAGAAAGCCGATTTAGTTGTTATGAGCCCCCCTCCTTAAGATCTGTTTAAGATCTGTACAGTAATACCTCAGTTCATGAATGTGTCTGTTCTTGAACAATTTGTTTCAAAAACAGAAGTGTTCATCAAAATTTTGTTTACACTCCAAACTCCATGTGGGGTAACTAACATGACTGCAGCCATTTTCCCCAGGGTCATGGAATGAGTTAAGCTTATGAATCAAGATATCACTGTGTATATTACAGTCCCCATTCAAGTGATTAATTGCAGAACAAAAGGGCAGTCTGCCCCTGAGGTGCCCCACAGCCTCCACCTCCAGCCAGACTGAAAACTGCTCTAAGGTTTGAGTTGAGGCTTTTTCCATGGAAAGACCATCGCCTACTGTGATGCCTGCCTGCTCCAGGGCCACAGCCTGTCCTTACACTGTGATTCATGAGAGTTTTAAGGTTGACTCCTGGGCTTGCTGCTGGCCAGGGCCAGAGGTGAAATGTGATGAAATTTCTCTGAAACATTTTGTCCAAAAGGAGATGACTGAAGTTTTGCAAGGGAACAAATGTGAATCGTGGCATTATGGGTTGGGAGAAATTTGTAGCCGGAGTCTTCATTTAAAGGCCACCCAGAGATGTAGTGCTATTTATAAAAATAAATGCAGTGTTTCTGAGAGCTGAGCTGAGTTGGAGATTAGCTGTCTCTCTGTTCTTCACACTTTGTCATCTCTTAGCTTGATAAGAGATGCCATTTTGTTACTTTTCCACATTTAAGATTAAGCTATTGTCTAGAAAATAAAAGGCTAAACCTCTTCACATGATCTTAAAAACTAGATTTGCCTTTCCAGAAATGCCATTTCAGTTTAAAGTTTAGTTCATTCATTGGAAAAGATGCATGTATATTACATCAGATTCCTATTAAGTTGGACTAGGTAGGGCTGTAGTGGTAGCTCAGTGATAGAATGTATGCTGAGTTTATGTAAGGCTCTGGGTTCAAGCCCCAGCACTGATACATAAATAGAACTAAATAGTCTTTCCTTAGAGTCAGTGTTTGGCACTGAGTTTTTCCAAAACATCAATTACGGTAATCAGCTCCCCCCTGTGCTGTGATCTGGGTCCTTGTTTTGGGGCAAAGAAGATTGAAGCTGACAAAACAGCACACAGCAAGTGGTGATGAATAACCAAATGTTTAATAGAAAGAATAGAAGAAAAAGCTCCTTACTTGTCAGGGATGGGTTCCATAAAGTGGATTCCATAGATGTTTAAATCCATTGGCTTTAATACAGTTTTTGGTAGGGGTGAACTTGACAGAAAACGAGGATGCTTCTGGCTGTAGTTAGGTGTTTGGTGTCTGGAAAGCAAACTTCTTCATTTGCATTTTACTTTGTTCAAAGCTTCTCCCATCTATTTAGGGTCCTTGCATTCTTTTAGGCCCTGATGGTCAGTTTGCTTAAGTTAATTATTTGGGCCCTCTGGTATATTAACTCTCTTAACTCACTTAAGACTTTTAGTTTACTTCAGGTTAACTTCAGGACCTATATCCTATCTGCCTAACTTCTTCTGTTGTCTGGCTTCATCTCAAGAATGATGTATAAAAGTAAACATAAGGATGATTTCTATGTTGCATATAGCCATTTCCATATATTTATAGTTAAAAACGATCTCTGACATTCCCTCCTATCAAAAAATAGCATTTATCAGTGTGAACCCCATCTAGGAAGGAAATCCCTTGCCTTTTTGAGTTAACCTTAATACAGTGCTTCTCAAATTCTGTGTGGTGAAAGACCAGTTTGTTTTCGTGTCCAGTCTGTCACAGAGTGATTCTTTTGTAAGATACCAAACAAACACGAATACAAGAAAAATGATTCTGCACTTGCGTTTGAGACAATCATAATTGTTGCAGAATTTCCCTATAGTTTTGTGGTGGCTGTGGCCTGTGGTATTGTGGTCCCCACCCTACATAATGGGCTGTGTTACCTACTGTACTTACTAACTAGAAATATTTACAGTTCATTGTTTACAATTTGATTAGAACCAGTTGGTTACAGATATGCATTGAAGACACCATTTCCTTTCTCCTTTGATAGTTCCCTGTCAACTGATCTATTATTAGAAAAGCCTGTGAGATTAAAAAAAAGATTTGTTTTAACAAACAAGAATAACTGAAAGACAGGATTCTGTTCCCCAAAATAACCCTGTGTAACTTAATTTGATGCAAGGAGCAAAGTATTATAAATGATATAAAAACAATGCACATACAGAGAGCAGTGTTTCTGTTAGCTAAGTCCAGTGAAATAGCAAGAGGCAGAATGGATGCTTGGCACAGTGTTTGGATAGGGGAGGGATCTGGGTGATAGGTGGATAATGGAGGATGAATGAGAGGGATCCATGAAGGGTAGGAAGGATGGATGGTGAGTGGGTGGGCGGTAGGAGGAGGGTCAGTGGATGGAGGTGGTTTGATGAATGGCCCATCAGAGGAAAGGCCAACTGGTTTGTGTTTGCCAGGCTGGTGTGGCGGGCGAGGCCTATCCTTGAGCTGCTTCCCACCAGGGGCGTTTCTCTTATCACACACTGCCTCCCTCCCTGCAGGTTGCACGGGTCAGCCCTGCAGCGAGGGCCGGACCTTTTCCAATGCTGTCGTCTCCCCGGACCTGGAGACCATCAGAATCATGCCTGTGCCTCAGACCTTCTCGGTGGGGGACTGCACAGCCGCCTGCTGTGACCTGCCCAGCTGTGACCTGGCCTGGTGGTTTGAGGGGCACTGCCACCTGGTGAGCTGCCCTCAGAGAGAGAGCTGTGTTCCCAAGAGGACTGGGCCCATCCGTTCCTACCTCACCTTTGTGCTGCGGCCGCCCACCCAAAGACCTGAGCAGCTGCTGGACTACAGGAAGATGATGCTGAACAAGGGTGTGCCATCAGGGGCCTGGGGGAACCCCCCTGAGGACCTCCAAAAGGATCTGCCTTTTCTAGGCAGAGGTGTGGGCCTGCAGGAGCCCACAGACTACTCAGATGAGGACTACAGGGGTCTGGAGCTGGGCCTCCTGCCCACCAGCCTGCCAGGCCCCCACGAGGATGCCCAGGATGCTGGCTGGGGTGCCAGTGATGCCAACGCCTCCTTAGGGGATGGCCCCTCAGCTTTGGTGTCTGTGGGTGACCACCCAGCCTTCACGGGGGACAGCCCAGCGTTTGTGGAAGACGGTCCTTTGGCCTCGATATCTGTGGGGGACCACCCAGGATCCCCTGGGGACAGTCCCAAGGCATTTGCATCCCCAGTGGACAGTCCAGTTGCCTCGGGATCCACAGAGGAGAGGCCCCAGGACACAGAGGTTGGTCCCCGTGCCACACAGCACCCCACACTGAGTGAGGCCACCTGGCCTACCACCCTCACACACTCTCCACTCACCTCACTGGCTGGTCCATCCCCATCCCTGGAACAGGCCCCAGACAAAGACAACCCTTCTCAGCCCCAGGCGCCATCCGTCAGCAGCCCTGAGGTACAGGTGAGTGTCTGTATCTGTGGTTTCCTGCTAAGTCTCCTGCCTGGTGGTGACCAAAGGGTGACACCTCCCTTCCCAGTTCTGACAGCTCTGAGTCGGGCTTCTCCTGACCCCAGAAAAGGTGAGCATGGCCTGATGGTGTCTCCAGAGCCAGCTCATGTACCTAGAGGGCTTGGACATCAACCAAAGCAGGTGCCTCAGGTTGCTGGAAACTCAGGCACGGTTAACTAAGGGGACTGAGATCCTAAGGAAAGAATGCAAGCTTTACAAAGCTTACTCAAGTGGAAAGACAGTGAATGGGAGGTCACCTTTGTGCTGTGCGCCTCCAGTTCCAACTACTTGGAGGCTGGTGTGGGAAGATGGCTTGAGTCTGGGAGAGGGTTCGAGGCCAGCCTGGGCCTTACAGCGAAACCTTGCCTCAAAAAGAGGGGGAGGACTAGAATGTAGTTCAGTGGTAAAGCAACTTAGTGAACCCTGTCTCAAAATAAAGAACAAAAAGGGCTGGAGAGATAGCTCAGTAGTAGAGTGCCCCTGAATTTGATCTCCAGTACCACAAAATAATAAATAGAAACAAACAAAAAACAGAAATGGAGATGTGACTCAGTAGTTGAGTGCTAGCCTCACACGTGTGAGGTCCTGGTTTTTCTCATTGCTGCAAGAATGAGTATGTGTTAGTAAGAATATAGAGAAATAGGAACCCTCACCCGCTGCTGGTGGGAATGTAAACTGGGTGCAGCTACTCCGTAACATGGTTTTTGGCTCCTCCAAATTTTAAACATAGTTATTGAGTGACCCAGCAGTTCTGCCTCTAGGCATTTACCCTAGAGAAATAAAAACATCTGTCCATACTGAGTTTGGTACAGGAATGTTCATAGCAGCATTATTTAAGTAACAGAGCCATTAAACAGGACATCTAAGAAAGACAAATCATACTTGTAGAGGATAAAGGACATTTTTTTGCCCCGGTATTTTCCAGGGACAAGGCAGATCCACTTAAAATGGGTTGTTCAAGAGTGGAGAAAGTACAGAAAGAACCATATGAGTCTTTTCTTCACTGGGCCCAGCCTAACACAGAGGGCTGGGGTAGGGAACAGTGGGGCCCAGCAGAGGATGCAGAGGATTTTTGTTGGGCCCTAAGGCACCTGAACCCCAGTAATGAAGCACAAAGTGTGCTAGACAGATTGCTTGACAGCAGAGCTAAGAATTGGACATTTAGTATTTGGGAAAGCAGATTTTTAGAAGGGAGTAGGGTAGAGTTTTCTGTCCTCTCAGCCATTTCCTGGTGGTTTTGTGACCCTGATCCAAGCTGCCTGGATTTCCCTGACTCCTGTTGACTTTCTTTTTTGTGCACGTGTGTGCACATGTGTGCTGTGCTGGAAATGGAACCTGGGCCTCTTGCATGCTAGGCAAGTACCCTACCACTGAACTACACTGCAGCCTCTGTATTCTTTACTTCACCTTGATGGTGATTTTTCAGGTATTGTGAAACTGGGCTCACCCTAGGGACTTTGCAGAGAGCCCCTGGTGCTGTCCTCTACACACCGCCTCTGCAGCCTGGGTGGAAGTGATTCTGAAATTCTTCTCTTCCTAGCAAGTGCAGGTGTGACAAGTGGATTCACCCATTAGCACTCCCTTCACAAACCAGGTGCCCTAAAGCTCCATAAAATTGGTCAGCTTTAAGTTACAGCAGACCTAGCCTCTTGGTCAGTTTATTTCTCTAGTTTGTTCAATGGGTCTCAAATGTAATGCTTCATCTTTTTTTCAAGTTTTGGTTCCAGGAATTTAGTTGCAGAAGATTTCATCAGCTGCCCCGTAACTCCCTGAAGCCCCTATCACGTTGAGGATTAGGACCTCCACATATGAATTTTGGGGGAAACACAATTATTCAATCCATTTCACTGACTAGTTCAGGGCCAATTACAATTATTTTCTCTTTATCTTGAAGTGTGTGTCCACTTATACTAATTGTTCAGCCCACAGTTGCCTTATATTTCTAATACATAGAAGGGACAATTTTCTTTTTTGAGTCAGGTTCTTGCTATATAGTTCCACCTGGCCTTGACCTCACTGTGTAACCTACATTGGCCTCAAATTTGAAGCGATCCTCTTGACTCAGCCTCTAGAGCGCTGGGATTACAGGTGTGTACTACCACACCCGGTTAGCAGAGAAAATACATATTTGAAAGAAAGTCTAGAGCTCCAGGGCTTTTCAGTATTAATCATGGTTTTTCACATGTTTCTTAATCTAATTTATGAGAAATATTTGTGACAATGTGATGATTGAAGAGGTCACTGCTTTTTTCCCATAAGAATTTATCCTTATGATTGATCTCATAGGTTCTAATGCCTTCTAATAGTCCTCCTCCTGCCAGCCTGGAGTTCACCCCAGTGATGGTGGAGAAAAACCCAATCCTCATGGTCACCAAGTGGAGAACAGAGCTCAGTACCCCAACACGTCCCAGCGGCACTATCCCTCCTGGGGCCTCCCCTTCTGAGCACCCCATGTCTCCCAAGACAGGTAATTTTTGGGCATCTGTCATGTGCTAGAAGCAGTGCTGTGTACCAGGAATGAAAGATGAGTAGGACATTGTCTGTCCTGCACTGGCCCAGGAGAGGAGACTGACAGGTAGATGGACAGTGTGATGCAGCCCTTGTGCAGAGGGTGGGGGAGGGACAGGAATGTGAGTAGGACCCTGAATCCAAGGCAGCTTTTAAAGCTTTTCACATCTTGTCGGGACACCAGTCTTACAGGGATTGTTTCGGGACACCAGTCTTACAGGGATTGTTTCCTGAGTCCCAACACACCCTTCTTCCCATTTGATGCCTGCTCAAGAGAACAGAAGTTTAAGAGCTCCTGTGACATTCTGGGTGACCTGGAAGGAGGTCATTATGCCCAGAACTGATCATTTGAGTGGAAAGGAAATGGCAGTTTTTGAACCTAGAATTTCCAGCTGGGTCAGATTCTGAAAATCATATATTGTATGCTAAGGAATATGTGTTTCAGTGGATAGGTTTAGTGAATGCCTGAATGGTCTTAATAAACAGGAAACAAAATGATCAGATTCATATGAAGAAAATGGCATAGAGTTGACCAAAGGTAATAAGATTCATTAAAAGCTTATAGTGAAGCTAGGTATGGTGACACATACCTGTAATGCCAGCACTCTGGGAAGCTGAGGCAGGAGGTTCACAAGTTTGAGCCCAACCTGGGCAATTTGGTGAGTTAGTGAGACCCTTTCTCTAAAGAAAAACCAAAAAATATAAAAGCCCTGGATTCAGTCCCCAGTACCACAAACAAAACAAAACAAAACAGAAGTTCAAAATAATCCTTATGCCACAGGCCTTTTTGTGGTAGCAATATGTTACACAAAATGGCAGCTATATTGTTAGGTTTAAGCCACAAGAGAGGCTTGTCAGTATGTTCTTGTTGGGAAAAAGAACCTAACAAGGTGCTGGCAAAGTGAACCTGTCTTGTAAGATTGGGTTTGGGTGTGTTTGGGAGGAGGGGTCTGTTGTCCAGGTCAGCAGAGGTTAGTTTCAAAGGTCACCTCTACAAACTGTGAGCCAAAATAAAGCTTTCCTTCTGAAAAAAATACAGTTTCAAAGGTTTAACTCACATCCTGGCTTGGGGTAGCTGAACCCTATTTCAGAGGTTCAGCTCTGGCTGTGTCTTAGATCTAATCAACAGTGCCATCCGTAGCCCCTTTGTAAATTCCCTAAGCTAATGCTACTCATTTTTTATTATTTATTTTGATCCTGAGCTTCAAGAGAGAAAAGGATAATGGTAGAAGAGAAGCTGTATAATATATGGAAAAAGAAACTGGCTTTCGAATTAGGCTCTTTGGGTTCTAGCAGTAGCTATGTCAGCATGAAATAACAACTCTGCTTTAAAGAAAAATTTTAAAAAATAGAGGAAAGAAGAAAAATTTTATTCTCAGACAAGAATGAATGACACAGAAACCCAGATTCAAATTACCTTGAATGACATGTTCCTCTGTGAAGTAGATTATGTGAGCTTTTATGGTCAAAGAACAGAAAGTTGTAAGTCAATACAGTGTTGGGTTAAAGTGTCTTGCAATAATAGCATTGTTAGCTTAGGGTTGGAGGGGGCTAGAGGTCTCCTTAAGCTTAGTCATACATTTTAAGAGATTTACCTCATAATCAAGAGTCTGTAAGGTCAGATAAAAGGCTGAAGTAATTGGGTATTTTTCTAGAGAGTCTGTGACAGCCCCAGATAATTTTGGCTCCAAACATGCCGCATTCCACATCCATCATCATGATATCTTACTAGGTGGAGGCCAATCTGCGGGATCTGTCATACAGATGTGTTTTTCAGACAGCTCTAGCTTTTCATTACTGCATGAGAGTAAGAGGAGTAAACGAACCCCTTATTTTGAGGACTTCAGAACAGGGCCCAGCAGAGTTCAGTCTGAACTGTAAGGGTTCATTGAAATAAATAGATTTAAATTAAATATTGGAGGGCCTACTCGTAGCCATATAGCCTTGGACAACTTACTTTGCCTTTCTAGGACTCAGTTTCTCTGTTATGAAACAGAGACCTAGACCTATGTCCCTTCTAGGTCACCATTGCTGACTTTGAGGCTGGAGTCAGTGAGTGTGGTGGGAGGGAGGAGCCTGTGAGTTCCTCTATTGCTGGCCTAAGGGCAGTGGAGGGCTGAGATCTCAGAAGAGGAGGGTTTGCTGGAGCACCTGTGCCTCCAGTGTCACCATGCTCTTGAGACTCCTGGAGAGCACTCAGCTTTTTTGTTGACTATTTTTAATCTTTGCTTTTTTCTGTGTGAGATTTTTGTATGATTCCTTGTGTTTTACAAGTGAAGCTAATGTCGGCTTGAGCTAGGCCTTTAGATAGTATAACTGTATGGTGTAATCTCCATTGTAAAGTACCGTTCCAATGCTGAGATAGTGGATGTGTGCTTTTAAGCCAGTCAGTGTTCCTGCTGCTTGAGTTGCAATATACTTTCCATATTGAGGTCCTTGGGATTTTCTCTTGGAAAGCTTTCAACCTTAAGGCCTTTAGTGGTCATTCGTGAGGTTACTGTCAGAACTGAGTGGTGTGTGACTAGTGACATAGAAACACTACTGCACACAGTCTTTTTATAACTAAGGATGGTGCACAGCTGGATGTGGTAGTATTATGCCCGTAAATCCCAGCACTTGGCATGGCAGAGGCAGGAGGATCGCACATTTGAGCCCAGCCTGAGTAACTCAGTGACTTCCTGGAATTTTGTCTTTAAAAATTAATTAAAATGAAAAAGGACTGGGGATGTATGTCAGCGTGAAGACCCTAGGTTCAATCCCTAATACTTCCAAAAAGTAAATAGGGAGAAAAACTGGTAGCAAGAGAGAATAGACCCCATCCATGGTGCCTACCTGTTTTGTGAAACTCATTGCCGCACACATTGCTTGTTCAGTTTGAGTCCTGTCTTTCCAGTGCCAGCTCCTATAACTGTTTTGAAGGTACAGAGTCTGTCTTGAAGTATTGTACAGGGCACAGTCAGTTACTAACCAGAGGCAAAAGTATCTTAGATAAAATGATATGAAGATTGATTACAAAAATACATGTGTTATGTTTTGTAGATTCTTAAATCTGTTGTGGAACAATACATAAACCACTGCATTATCTAATAACATGTGTTATTTCTGATTAACTTGTAGCCCAGTTGCTATCAGTGTCTGCTGGAGATAACCTCTTTCTGACGTTACCCCACAGCTCTGTGGAGCTGAAGGCCTTGGTTGTGCCAGCGCCCTCTGCAGGTCAGAGCTTGCCTTTCCTTGGAGACCTCTAGGGTCAGCAGGGCTGGGGGGTCTTCCCTCACTGCCCTTACAGGTTTTTGCAACTCTGAATTGTTTCCAAAACATTCCATAACATGGCAAACCGGGGTTCTAGGGTGAAAGACAAGGCTTCATGATCATGAGCATCAAAGTTTATCAAAATAGTTTTAAATCTAGGGAGAGCACAGGGAATTAAAAATGGAGCCATCCTTTCACTGGCCAGGATGCAGAGTCAGTTAAGTTCTGATGATATAAAGCTGAGTGTTCTGTTAGAGCAGGAGAGGTTGTTACAGACCAGATCCCAGCCTGCAGTGACCCTGAGAACCTGAGGTTTCCGGTGGGAGGAGAGCTGGTAGATGGCTTGGGGATGTGCGACGTTGGCCACACTGCTCTGAGGTTATCAGAACCCTGCTGCAGCTCAAGACATGTCCACGATGATTTTTCTTCCTCTCTGCTCTCCTGTTTGGTGACAGTTTGACCTATTGCTATGGCCTGTCAAATGCATTCTGAAGATATTTGACTATTTCTCCTTTTCTCCTTTTTTTTTTTTGATGCCGAGGATTGAACTTGGGTCCTTGCACTTGCAAGGCAGGTGGCGGAACCGCTGAACTAAATCCCCGGCTCCTTCCCACATTTTTTATTAGTGTACATAGGTTATACAGATGAATGGGTTTCATTTTGGCAGATTTGTACATGCGTATAACATACTTTAACCTCCCCCCAGTTTCATATGTTTTGGGGGGTTCAGTGTATATAATGTATTTGATTATATTCATGCCCCGTATTACCCACCCTGACACCCCCACTTTTTCCCCTTTTTTCCCTTCCTCTTGTTTAATCATAGTCTCCTTTGTACTTTCCTATCATCTTTTTTTAGATTCTGCATGTGACATTTGTCTAAGTTTGACTTGTTTTGCTCAACATGATAATTTCCAGTTCTATTCATTTTATGGCTACATAATGCCCTGTTGTGTATATATGCCACATGCCTTTATTCATCTTTCTCCCTATCACATATGAGTTGAAATTTTATAAACAGATAAGATTTGACTTTGTATTTTAATCCTTTGAAATGAGGCACCTCTTACTTTATTACTATCTAAAGGTAGGAGACAGCTTTAGCTTAACATAGAGATGCTTAATTTATTTTTGTGTCTTTAAATAACCCCCACAAAGATCAACTAAGTGGAAATCTTGCATTTTATTAAAAGGACAAGAAATGATATTGTTAAACTTACCTGGACAGTCACGTGTAGCATCCTGGAAACAAAATCATCGAGTGGTAACAGTGAGATTTAAGCAAGATTGCTTTGTTTTGTTTTACTTTTTATATTTTCTACATTTTTTATTAGTTGTATATTTTTATAATAAAAATATAAATGCTACTTTAAAAAGACATGAAAACCTTGTTATTCACTACTTGGGCAGGGGATGAAAGGCCAGTTCAGTAGATCTAAGCAGTGGCGGTGAGCCTGTGGCACGCATGTCTCAGCAGCTGTTTGTTATTATTGAAAACTCTTCAGGGTTCACCATCACTGATCTAAGGTCATCATCACTGCTGGGTGTGAAGCTAACATTTCCTTCCCCTCTGCCCAGGCTATGAAATGGCCTTCAGAATTGTAACTCCTTACATTTCTGATTTGCTCCCAGATACAACCTACAGCTATGAATGGAGCTTGGTAAGCCACCCTGTGGACTACCAAGGTGAACTCAAGCTAGGAAACACACAGACTCTTAACCTGTCTCAGGTAAGTGCCTGGGATGCGTTCCATTTGACAGCATACCATAGAATCCAGTTAATACTCCTAGCTGTTGAATCCAGAATTCCCTCATGATTAAGATCTAAAGAAGCTTGGTATGGGGGTGCACACCTCTGGTCCCAGCTACTTGGAGGAAGCCCAGGAGTTAGAGGCAGTCTATGCAACATAGTGTGACTCTGGGTCAAAAATACATGAAAAGGAGGACATAAAGTTTCAACCATGTAAGTAGACAGGCAGATAGATAAAGAGGCTTTGGATAGCTTTTCTTCATTTTGGTTAGTTGAGTGCCCAGCCCTCTCTGTGTTCTTGCAATCTTTGCAGCATTAGCAACATTCTGCTCATCTCTGTTCCCAATCAGGAGTATTTATTTCTGAGTTGCCCACAATTCTATTCTGGTTTATCTATGCTTTGATGGCCAAATACTGCTCCAAGAGATAAGCACCTCACAAGAAGAAACATGCCTTCTTCCTGGCCCATACAGTGAAATAAACTCGCCCTACTGCTTGAGCTCTGGATTCCCACCCAGTGACAATGCTGTCTTCTGGGATTCAGCTCCTGGTGCCAACTGGCTCACATCTCCCCATCTTACTGAGCTCCTCTTCTCAGCGTGTGCTGCCAAGACTCTGGCAGCCACCTTACCAGAGCTGTGCACTGGAAATTCCCAGATCCAGGCTGGGGAAGGAGCTTAGTAGTAGAGTACTTGCCTAGCATTTATATACAGGGCCCTGGGTTTGATCCCAGCACTGAAAAAAAAACAAAACAACAACAACAACAAAAAAACCCAAAACAAAAGCAGGGTTGGCCTGTATGTATGGTGACCATTTGAGAACTTCTGTGGTGTCTGTCACTAAGCGAAGGCCTATCTCAGTGACCTTTAGTGTCCCAATATGCAGGCCTCAAACATTTGGCAGTCCAGAGACAGCTGGAAGTGGGACTTTGTCCTGAGCCCTCTTGACACTTATGTGGGGATTGTGGGCTCCAGGTAGTGGGTCCACCGTGTCTTTTGCATACACACCTGTGTAATTTTTCCCTTTCTTGCAGCTGTCAGCAGGAGTTTATTCCTTCAAAGTCACTGTTTCTAGTGACAATGCCTTTGGAGAGGGATTTGTTAATGTCACTGTTAAGCCAGGTGAGTTTGTGTGAGAGAATGGCTTCTTTTTGCTCAGGTGATCTCAAGTTTTGGCACCTGGATGACACGATTAATATATTTCATTTTAGCCTGAGGCTTCTCTGTAGAGAAAACATGCAAGGGCTGTGTTTTTGGTTGTTTTGTTTTTTGTTCTTTTCCTGCTTTCTGTATAATTCTTGGTACTTAACATGGCTATTCTAGGCTACAGGGTAATTGCTTGCTGAACTTGGGTGGTGACAAATTGTACCTTATTTTTCTCTGTCTGATGCTTAGTCTAGCCTCATGATTCAATTTAGGAGCATGAGAATTTCAAATACAGTCACCTGGGCTTTGCAGGCATCCCTATCCCTCAGATCAGTGCATTCATGTGAATTAGAAACAGGTGGCCCTTTTTCACAGTGGGCAGAGCCCTGGCTGGGTGTCATGAGCTGACAGCAGGCTGTGTCACTGAGCCTGTGTCTCCTTGGAGGCAAGTGATCTTCTACTTTACCTGGGGACAGTGACTCTCCCCTTGCACATTTTTGCCTAGTTACTATCAGCGTGAAGCATGGTGGTGTTAGTGGGCACCTGCTCATGGTCTAAGATTGGAGGTTGGAGAGCCAGCTCATCATAGAAGCTGAAGCTGTCATCGAGTCTTCTTTTCCTGTGCTCACACAGAAATGTGAGCCCAAAGTTGCCCTCCTGTCATTGGCAGGAAGCAAAGGGTTTCCAGAGTCCAGGCCGGCGGGATAAACTCTGACAGGGACGCTCATAATCGTTCTGTAGAAAGCAGATGATCTGCTTGGCTATTGACACAGGCACACGGCATGGGCTTAGCCACTGTCCTTTTTTCTGTCACACAGCTGGAAGAGTCAACCTGCCACCCGTAGCTGTTGTTTCTCCCCGAGCACAAGAGCTCACTCTGCCTCTGACGTTGGCCTTCCTGGACGGCAGCCGTGTGTATCCCCACACAGGGTCTTCCCCGGCCCTCCACTGCGAGGTTTAAGGGTGCTCTGCCTCAGGGCAGGGGACTTGTAGGTTAACTCACCAATCAATCATTGCCTCCTTTAGTTTTGATCTTAGAGGTCTTCAGTTTCTCACCTCAGCTTATATATCGCATGCCTGCTTGCATTTACTTTTCCTTCATTTATACTAAGATGTTCTTTAGGATCCAGCTGTTTTGATATGAAATTAAAATAACTATTGAAGAGTCTTCTTTAGATGTTTGTGACATGTGTTAGCAGTTTTCACTTTAAACAACTCTCGGGGTTTGCCTTCAGGGAGTAGGTAGTGTTTCATTTGCTAATTATTCAGAGTTCATTCCTTTTAGTGGCACCTGTGTGATGCAGCCCCCCCCTGAGAACAGACTCTAAACATCTCCTGTGCTTGATGTGGTTCAGTAAAATCTGAACACTCTGCACCTGCATGTTATGTGCATCTATCACAAAGCTGATGCCAGATCTTGTGCGAGTTAAGAATAGGTGTTCTGGTTGTTGGGAGACAGGCACTGTGCCAGCCAGCAGATGTACCGGACCATACCCACCCGCCCATTTAAAATAAAGTCTCTTTTTCATGGAAATATTGACATGACAAAAAGCATCCCATTTTGGGGCTCAATATGGCTTAGTTACAATACCTTGCTCAGGACTATAAATCTGCCACTTGAGCTTGTTCTTTCCTTCAACAACTTCAATGCGGCTGGGTCTTTTTTTTTATGATTCTGCTTGAAACATTTTGTTTCTTCCAACTGGGAAACTGTCGTGCAGGATACAACCTCTCTCTGGATTTACACTTTTAACAGTTAATGCAGTAAAAGGTGTTTTATAGATTATGGATAGGCAGCTCGTCACATCCTGTTGGCTTAGATACCTATGTGAAATTGTGAGTAGGGCTTCACACACTGTGATCACGGGGAGTCCAAGCAACATTTCAGTGTGCTACATTCTGTTCATTCCTGGTTTTTAAAAAGCAACAGCACCTGTCACTGTGCCTCTGAAATATTCAACTGAGTGGGAACTGCCTCACTCAAATCTGGTGCATTTCCAGGAAAAACAGTCCTGGTAATTTAGGGAGTAGGAAAATACCTCCCTCTTTCCATTACATAATACATACTTTTGCCATCTGTGCAAGTGTACAATTCATATAAAAATGAATTTAAACATGATATTCCTCATTTAATGCCCTGCCTGTTTAATGACTGTTTAATGAGGCACATTGTTTAGACTTATGACCCATCTTTTTTTTTTTTTGTACAGTTTTGTACATCTTGTTTATAGAGCCTCAGTGTCTTTCTTTTGGCACAATATAAGTTTTGTTGTTGTTGTTAAGTTTCTTGGTACATTTTAGGTGTACCGTATAATGACATTTATCATTGAAGATTTGTACCTTTACATAATCTATCTTGGTTATTTTTTCCCCATTTCCCTACAACCCCTCCACCCCTCCCTATTTACAAAGACTTTATTTCCATTTTTTCCTTTTCTCATATTAATTCCATTCCCTTCTTTCCTTTCCCCAGCCCATCCCATGTCCCCTTCCCCTTTGGACCTTTTCTTCCTATTTCACATTATCAATTATATGTTTTGATCCTTATTTACATTGTTAGTGTTTCACACCAGAGACACTATTTGGTATTTACACGTGTGTCCTGTTTGTTTCACTGAAGAGTATGGCATCAATGTGCATCCATTTAGCTATAAATGTCTCTAGTTTCTCGTTCTTTATGGCTGAATAGTACTCCATTTTATTTAAAAAAAAAACATGTTTTTTTTTTAAAAAAAAAAACTTTTTTTTTTTTTTTTTGTGGTACCGGGGATCGAACTCGGGTCCTTGCGCTTGCGAGGCAGGCCACCAAACCGCTGAGCTAAATCCCCGGCCCAAAAACCACATGTTCTTTATCCAGTTCCCACTTGATGGGCAATTGGGCTGCTTCCAAGTTTTAGCTATTACAAACTGTGGTACAGTACACCTTTATACATACTATAAATTTTGTTGATTGTATCATGCATTGCAGTAATTTTATGTTCTCTTATACATTATAGTACTGCATGTAAGAGATGGAAATAAAAGTAATCAAATCGAAGTTTCCCTTGACCATTTCTTTGTTCTGCATATTGTATTGTACATACTGTGTACAGTTCCTCATTTATCAACCAATGTAGTTAATGACTAGTCGCAGGAATAGAACATGGTTGTTAAAAGAGGAGTGTCTCTATACATTAAGTGCAGTTTGTTTTTTCTTGTATTTCATTCTAGTTCTTTATCTGTTAATCTTGTAGAAAGTACAGATGATACTGAAATAGTGAGTTATCACTGGGAAGAAGTTAGCGGGCCTTTCTTAGAAGAGAAGACCTCCACTGACTCCCCCATCTTACACTTGTCTCACCTCGTTCCTGGTAACTATACTTTCAGGCAAGTGGGCCCCACTTTGATTGTGATTTCCACTGCTTATGTTTTGACCATTGCCTTAAATTGATGTTCTGAAAGTTCTGTTTTTCATTTGGATCAAGAGGCAAGGCCGATTGGTTTCTTTGCAGGGACTTAGTTGTCTGCCTGTGTAGTTCACAAGAAAGTGCCAGTTTCCTCATTGGGGATGTCAGGAAATAGTACAGGGATAGTATCTTTTTTTCTGTTGAGTTACTAGCAGCAAAGTTTGCATCTTCAGAGTCAAAGGAAGCACAGATGTATGGTTATCTGCTAATTACATAATTATTTTAATCTTTTTCTTTTTACAATTTTTAAAAGTGTGACTGAAGTACAATAAGCTGCACATATTAGAAGGACAAAATTTGATGTATTTTGACACAGGCATGTACCTGTGAAACCATCGCCCTAAGGAGATAATGTACATTCTCATTGCCCCCTGCCATTCCTTGTGTCCCTTTCCTATCCATCTTTTCCTCCACGGCCAGGGACTAATGCACTTTCTGTCTCTGTTAATTACTCTGCTGTCTCTAGAATCTATATTGATGGAAACATACAGTGTTTACCACTGTTTGCCTGGTTTCTTGCACTCAATGAATGTGATTTCATTGGTGCTGTTGTCTGTATCAGTGATTTGTTCCCTTTTAATGTTGGACTCTTTATTTCATTGTGTGGTGTGGAGGTAAAGGAAGAGTTGCTGAACTTCTGTACTCCCTTGGCTAGAGGGGAGAGGAAAGTAGAGAAGGTATACAGTTTGAAGCTTGTAAGTGATAGGAGAATGAATAGGAAGACAGTTGCTTTGGAACTTGAGCTTAAGGAACAGACATCACCTGGTAATAGAACCCATCTAGGTGTGTGTACATTCCTCACTCTTTTCTGCCATTGCTAATGTGTTATCAAAGTGGGAAGGGAAAGCAGATTACCCTAGATATCAATCCATCAAATATTTTACAGCATATTGGGTACCATAGTGATATATTATAGTTTCTTAATTCAGCCCCAGTGTTTAACATTGGAATATCTTTATGGAAAAATTTTGGTGTACAAGTAAAATTTTTGAGTTAGAAGTATATATGTTTTAAAGACATTTGATACATTTGCAAAATTTTCATCTGATAAGTTTGCTAATACGGATTTGTGGGAACTTTCTGATATAAAAAGCTAAGGGGGGCCAGGGGTTTAGCTCAGTGGTTGTGCCTCGCAAGCACAGGGACCAGAGTTCAACCCTGGTACCCCTCACAAAAAAAACCTAAGGGGACTTCAAAAAGTTACTATGAAAATTATTTCTCTAACACTTTATTTATTGAGGGAGTATTTATATGTGGTAATATGTCACTTTATGAGATGCTTTTGTTCATTTTTATTTGATTACTGCTCTCTGTGTGGTTGAGTCACATTTCTGCTGCTGACCCCGGAAGACATTCTCTGGTTGCTTTCACTCAGCCTGGTTGAGAAGGAAGGACCCCAAAGTAGAGGTATTTGAAGTTTGGACCTTAGCAGTGTGGAGTGTGGCCTGTGGTTGTTGGCCTGTGCAGGATGGTGTGGCACCCCCTTCCCTCCAGGGCTTTCCTGGAGCTTTGTTCTCATCCTGCTCTGTACACTGGTCAGCATCCATCCTTGCACCTGCTGCCCTTGCTGCCTTGGAAGGACGGCATCGCCTGTTAGTGATTTCACTGTTCTTTTTCCACATTAGGAATCCGTTTGCTACTTGAGGGACAGCAAGGTTTACTTTGCAATTTGAGGGTGGAGCATCACGTCATACTTGAAACTGCTTAATCTTAAAATTGCTTTCAAAGAGTCTTGGAAAATATAATAAGTCCTCTAAAAAGAACTTAAGAATTCAAAGTTGTGCATCTGATAATTCATGAGTGATGCCCCATCTCTAAATGCCCAAGCCTGAAGATAGAACTTACCCTGATAATGTGCGTCACCTCCGCTGTCTGGGAGCACAGTGGCTTCTGTGTTAGTAGAGAGTGGTTTCTCCACCCACTTTCTCAAAGTTTGGAATTCCAAAAAGGTTAAGCTTTAACATGTAATTATATTCTCACTTAAAAATAAATTAACAGCAAACAGCAAAGCAAACAAAAGTATCTTCAGGATAGCTCAGTGCACAGCACCTGCCTGGCTAGCTCCAGGTCCTGAGTTCAATCCCTGGTACCAAACAAACAAACAAACAAAAAACCTTCAAGTCTATGTTCTTTTCTTAGTTTCATCCTGAAGTCATTTACACCTGAAAATGAACCCTGAATAGGCTAACCCAATCTCAGACCTTACAGTCTGGTGTGTTCTTGCAATGTAATCATAATCCTCTTCTTTTTGTAGGCTGACTGTTGTGGACTCAGATGGGGCCACGAATTCCACAAGTGCCACCCTAATAGTCAACAGTGCTGTAGACTATCCGCCTGTTGCCAATGCAGGATCCAATCAGACCATTACTTTGCCCCAAAACGCCATCATTTTGAATGGAAACCGGAGCAGTGATGACCACCAGATTGTGCTCTATGAGTGGTCCCTGGGCGCTGGCAGTGAGAGCAAAGAGGTGGCCTTGCAGGCAAGTTCCCGACCCTGCCTACAGATGTTTCAGTATCTATCATATCTGTTTCTCTGTCCATCTGTCTGTCTATCCATCCATGCATGCATGTTTCAGTCATGCATTGGTTTGGGGCCAATTACATCGAAAAATTCTTCTGTGTAAAATTGTCTCTTAAGACAGTTAAACTGACAGAGAAGCAACTAAACACACAAATCTTCTAAGTTACAGTATATCCTTTTCCCATCCTTAATTAGACAAGCATAGAGCAGCAACCAAGGGACCCTGTGTTGACGAGTAGATCTTGAAGTCAGGTTGGGAGAAGTCTGACCCAACAGTTGTTAGACAGATAGTTTAATATTGAAAGAAACTTTAGAAATAATGGAACCCGAAGCTCATTATAAGAAAACAATGTTTATCATATTTTATTTTATATTTATTTATTTTGTTGTTATTTTGAAACAGGGTTTCTATATGTAGTTCACCTGACCTTGAACTCATTGTGGAGCCCAGGCAGGCTTTGAACTCACAGTGAACTTCCTGCCTTCCTGCCTTGGCCTCCTCTGAGTGCTGGGATTACAGGCATGCACTGCTGTACCTGGCCTTGTTTCCCTTATTTTAGAAACTATGTGCTATCTTGTTTCTTTCTCCCTTCCCCCTCCCTCCCCCTCCTCTCCCCTCTCTCCCTCTCCTCTCCCTCTCCTTTCTGTCTTTTTATCTCTGTCCCTGACTCTCTGCTTATCTCTCTGTCTCTATCTGTGTCTCTGGACTGGAGATTGAACCAGTATGTTTTTTAACATTTTTCATATTAGTACTTACTAGGCCTTTTGTGCTGAGCTGTACCCCTGGACCTTTTTAATGTTTTAATTGTGAGTCAGGGTTTGTTAAATGACTAAATTGCCCAGGCTGAACTGAAACTTGTGATCCTCCTGCCTTAGCTTCTCAAAGTGCTTGGACTGTGGGCATGCAACGTGACCCTCTGCTCCAGTGACTTCTCCTTAAGAGTTTCTTTGTATCTATATTTTGACTTGCTCAGACCTTTTAAATACATTTATCTAATACCTAATAACTTTGAAACTTGCTCTGTTTATGTGTGTGTGAGCTGTTTGCTTATACTTCATGATTTCTTACTGTAACAAACATCTGAGATAATCAGTTTGTAAAGAGAAATTATTTATTTTGGCTCACAGAGGTCTCAGTCTGTGGTCATTTGGCCCTGTGGCAAGATAACACATCATGGTAGGAACTGGTGAAGGAGTAAAAAGCCCCTCACGGGTGGTAGCCAGGAAGCGAGAGGAAGACGAAGCCACCAGGGTGCCACAGTCCCTTTTGAGGGCACCCAGATGACCAGAACACCTCCCACTAGGCCCTGCTCTTACAGTGTCCACAACTCCCGGTGACGCTGCAGGCTGAGGACACGTAGGCTTTGACATGTAGGCCTTTGGGGACATTGCAGGTCCAAACTACAGTATTCTTTTGTGATGGCTGGAGATGATTATTATTGTCAACCAACTTGGAATTTTTGAGGTTGTGTTATTATTCAAAAGTTTAGTAGGCAAGTGCTCCAACCCTGAGCTATATCACCAGCTCTACAGTATTTTTGCCTCAGAGTTTAAAAGAAAAATTATTATTAATTATTATTATTATTATTATTATTATTATTATTATTATTATTATTATTATTATTATTATTATTATTATTATTATTATTATTATTATTATTATTATTATTATTATTATTATTATTATTATTATTATTATTATTATTATTATTATTATTATTATTATTATTATTATTATTATTATTATTATTATTATTATTATTATTATTATTATTATTATTATTATTATTATTATTATTATTATTATTATTATTATTATTATTATTATTATTATTATTATTATTATTATTATTATTATTATTATTATTATTATTATTATTATTATTATTATTATTATTATTATTATTATTATTATTATTATTATTATTATTATTATTATTATTATTATTATTATTATTATTATTATTATTATTATTATTATTATTATTATTATTATTATTATTATTATTATTATTATTATTATTATTATTATTATTATTATTATTATTATTATTATTATTATTATTATTATTATTATGTACCAGGGATTGAACTCAGATCCTTGTGCTTGTTAGCCAGGTGGTTGAACCACTGATCTAAATCCCTGGCCCAAGAAAAAATGTTTTTATTACAAAAGTAACATGTGAACAAAAAAGAACCGAAAAAAACAGTGAAATAACTTCTGATAAGATAAAAATACACTTTGACCACCAGTGTCCTCCACATACCTGCCTAAAGATAATTACTTAGTCATTCTTAGAATGTGTGCTCTGGAATCCTTTCTGTGTGTGTAGCAGTCACTATCATGAGTATGTGTTGTTCCACAGCTTGCTGTTTTTGCTTAGTATGTTTTTTAACATTTTTCATATTAGTACTTATAAACCCACCTGATTCTTTTTTTGTTTTTTTTGGTACCGGGGATCGAACTCGAGATCTTGTGCTTGCAAGGCAGGCGGCAGCACTACTGAGCTAAATCCCCAACGCCACCTGATTCTTTTAAATTTAATTTATTTATCGGCCTCAAGAGTGAACCCAAGCCTTGTATGTGCCTTGCACACGCTCTAACCCCAAGACACACCCCAGTCCAACCTTCTTTCTTTGAGACTAGCTTTCATTGTGTATCCCAGCAAATTTGGCCTCTCTCTTATGGGTATTTAGATCATTTCCATTTCTCACTATACAGATTGCTTCCTTCAATATCTGTGGGCAATGAACCTCCTGTACACTTCTTTAGAGGACAAAATGAGAAAGGGGAGTTGCTGGTTGGAGAAAGTTCTCATTTTGCACCTTCATTATCTGTCACCATCTTGGCTTCTGAAAAGGCTGTATTGATTTACATTCCATTGATACTGTAAGGATACATGATGGAATTTAAATTTAAATTGCATTTTCCTGGGTACCCACATATTTCCTCTTCAAGCACAGGCCTTGTATGAAGTAGAATCATTGTGTTAAGTCATGCTATTCACTTGTGCTGCTTTAACATTGCTCATTCTTTTTGCTTTCCTCTTGGCATCTATTCTTCCTTAGGGAACAGGGACCCCTTATCTGAGCGTGTCCTCAATGCAGGAAGGGGAGTACACATTTCAGCTGATAGTGACAGATTCTTCAGGACAGCAGTCCACTGCAGAGGTCACCGTGATTGTCCAGCCTGGTAGGTGAGATGGAGATGAGATTGGCCCCAGGGTGAAATAACAGGGCATCTGGGCTTTAGCAGCGTCCACTTTGAGCTGTCAGGAAGCAGGGCCATGGGAGATACTGCTACACCTAAATCCAATTTTCTTTGGGGTTTCTGAACCTCGTCTTGACTGGGACTCTAAACCATGGCACGAGGGACACAATGAGAACCATCTTGAGCACCACAGTGTCTCGACCCACTTTGTGGCAACAAATCCCAGGGCACCCTGCAGAGACTCCTAGGTGCAGCCCAGCATTGGGGTGCTGGTTCCTGCTCAGTCTCCTGTCTGTTTTGGTGGTCACGGAACCCAACACTCTGCCTGCCTCAGACCACAGGAGCCTCCCAGGCAGCCAGGCCCAGGCTTCACAGTGGTCTTCGCTTGGAGCCTTTCTAGTAGATGCCTGCTACTTGCAGTGTCCTGCAGTGAGAATGGCCTACACCTGGAGATGGCTTTTTTTTTTTTTCATTTATTCATTCAACTACTTTGTAAGAAATAACTGTTAACATATTTTAGTGCTTTAGAAGTGACTGCCACAGGTTTTGACTTCATGGCTTGTTTTTTTAGAATAAGAATTGTATTTATATCAGTAATGCTTTAAGTGATACTTTGTACCTTTTTCTTTCTTCAACATTTAACCAAAATTATTTGAATATTTGCTGTTTGCTAGGCAATAGGGCTACAAAGATGACAGGAAGTCCACCATGCCTGACATAGCAGGTCTTTGCTCATCAGTGTCCATTTCTTTCCGTTGTCTCTCCCTTCCTCTTTCTCTCCTCCTGTTCTCTCCTTCCCCACCATCCTGACTGACACCTGACAGTCTTCTAAAGACCCCAGCCTCATGTGCCACAGGGCTCACTGCCTCTTGCTGCCTGTGACTCGGGCCCTGCCTCAGAATATTCTGACCTTGGGTTGGCTGGAGACTCTCGTGTTTCACCCCCGGATTCCCAATGGACACTGTTCCCTATCAGCTGCCTGGTCTCAGTATATGTAATTTCCTTTTTTAAAAAATTGAGTTATTGGTACATTTTAGGTATTAGAGTACAGTGACATTCATTATTGGGATCTTGTACCTTTACACGACAGATCTTGGTTCTCATTTTTTCCCCATGTCAGCTGCCTGGTCTCAGTATATGTAATGTGCTTTTGAATCAAGGAATCAGGATTGCAGACTACATGCAAAGAGGAAATCCTTTTTTACACTGTTTCTGCCTTCCTAGAAGACAACAGGCCTCCAGTGGCCATTGCTGGCCCTGATAAGGAGCTGGTCTTCCCAGTGGACAGTGCTACCCTGGATGGGAGCAGGAGCAGCGATGACCACGGCATTGTTTATTACCACTGGGAGCACGTCAGGTAGGCTGTGTCACCACAGATGCTCAGTTCCCAACTACAGCTGAGTAACTGTACCCCTTCTCTGCAGATCAATGCTGAACACTCCACTTGAGCTTGTCTGGGCTTAAGCATATTTCCAAAAGTAGCTGGGCATGATGGGAAGAATATGGCAGATGTGGACAGGAGAGATGGCCTTTTGATGACAGCGGAGGAGGTGGTTGGCAGGTGGATGGGTCTGTCTTGGGATTAGGGTGTTTTGGCCCGAGTAGTCCTGTCTTGACTACACCAACTCAGCCTGCAGTGACTGTGGATAACAGAAGTGCAGGTCTTAAGCAGATGCTCAGATTATCTGGTATTTCTTGAGCTTCACAGCTTAATCTCATAGCATCCTACATCTAGTGTTTAATACACATGCTAATCCCATTTCCTTTTTAAAGTTGGAAAACTGAGGCTTGTCGAGACCGGTGAGATCACAGGGCCTAACATTCTAGATAGGAGTAGAAAGGGCTAGGGCACCCTCCTAGGTCTTTCTGATTCCCAAGCCCTCACTATTCTGTAATTCTCTTTAGGAGATCCATTGTCTGGCTCATTCCCTCCTCCTCTGTACCCCCACTAAAGATATGTGGGGAGTTTACCTGACTTTATTCAAAGAAATAAGAGTAGTTACTAGGGTTCAATTTTCCAAAAATAAATCATTTCACTTACAGCCCAATTAGAAGAAAATTTGAAAAACACCACCAACAACAAAATCCTCTTCCAGGAACCGAGCTGGCTCTGCGTGAAATAGGCTGTAGCTTCTGCCTGTTAGACTGAACTAGAGATAACAAGTGAAGAGTCATCTTAGAAGGGTATTTGTGAGGGCACAGATCACAGGCCCGACATACTCACAGCTCCCTGTCCCCCTTTTGTCCCCACTTCTGGGTGTCACAGAGGCCCTGGTGCAGTGGAGATGGCAAATGGGGATGCAGCAGTAGCCACGGTGACCAGTCTCCAGGTGGGCACCCACCACTTCCGGTTAACAGTGAAGGACCAGCAGGGACTGAGCAGCACGTCCACGCTGACCGTGGCTGTGAAGGAGGGTGAGTGGCCCCAACCTGAGGAGCGCTGGCCCTGCCCCACCAAAGCCAGGCTGCCATTATATAAACGTTGGTGTCTGTTTACTTCTTCATAGCAGAGACTGAACTCTTCTTAATCCAGAAGCACAGCCTTCTATTCCTGTGAGTTGTTTTCAGATCCACTCTGTAAAGAGAACATTTCCTTCTGTTTATGAAGTGCACCTTCTAATAGCTATACTTCCCTTCCATTGGTGACTAAAGACTCATGTCTCTGCCACACCATTATGCTTTACTCCCTGTCTCCCTTGGAAATTCAAGAGCAGAAATGTTTTCAAGTTCTGTATTGTTTCTTAAAGTGGAACTTGTTGGGTAGAGTCCTGCAATTCTGCTTTGGGAACCTGTCTCCTTGTCTGAACTGTGAGCTGTTCATGGTCCTTTGCCTCAAACATTCCTTCATTGTCTGTAGAGCACAGAACTAGACCCATGCAAACCATACCTGTTGGTCAGCTGGATGAATTAATGAAGGGATGATGGCGGCATGTTTATGCACGGAGGGGTTGTGAGTGGGCCGGATGAAAGATTCCATGCTGGTTTGGGGGCAGTGGGGAGAGTTGAGCTCGGCAGTGAAGGGCTGTAGGTGCCATCAGTTACTGTATAGCCTTGACTTTATCACCAGGGCACTTAGGAGAGGCTGAAGCAATTTGATCAGCAGAGTGATCCAGATTTGGGCTTTTTCCCAAAATATTTTATTGCAGAAAAATTTAACCACATGTAGGAGTAGCGGGTAGTCTTAACAGAACATCAGTAGCCCATTATCCAGCTTTAACAACAGTCTCTTTTTGGCCAGTCTTTGGATTTGTTTACCAGTTCAGTTTATTTTGGTTGGATCATTTTAAAGCAGCCTCTAAATTTTTAGCTTTAAGACTTAGATTTCTAAAATGACAAAATGGTCCAGGGATGTGGCTCAGTGAGAGAATATATGCTTAGCATATGTGAGGCCCTGTGACCACAAAAAAACAAAAGGAGAAAACAGAACAAGTTGATGAGAAGAGAGGCTCAGCAGAGAGAATAGTTAGAACGCATCTGTAAGTCTGGATACAATATATGAGCCTTATCTGAGGTCAGCAAGGGGAAAATAGGGAGAAAAGGGATAGATTGCAAAGAGAGAGCCTAAAGTCCCAGGACTTGGGAACTTAATAGATATGGAGGGTAAGAAAGGGGGCATCTCTGACTTCCATGTGCATAGTGATGGTGTGATGATCAAAATCCTGCTTCCAGAAGAGCAGGTTCTGGGGAGGATATTCAGGTTTAAATGTAGTGAATTCGTGCCAAGGGAGCATCAGGACCGAGGCTCTGGAGTTTGACAGCTCCAAGACAGAAGTGAGTGGGGTCCTCAGTTCCAGTGCAAACCTACATGGATGCAGATTGAACAGGGCACTTTGGGGTTCAGTTTACTGCAGTCTGCTTCTGTTCTTCTTAGTCTTGTAGACTTAAGTGTCTTTTACACTAGATCAGTGATGGTGAACCTTTTAGATATTGACTGCTCAAACTGCAACCCAAGACCCACTTATTTATCACAATAATACCAAAAATACCAACTACTCCCACGTGCACTGTTGTCTGATGCTTGGCTACTAGAGTGATGCTGGGTGACTTGGCTCCCACGCCAACAGAGAAGGCTGTGTGTGTCCGCTGTGGCATGTGTACCATAGGTTCGCCACCACCGCACTGGATTCCACCCTGCTCCCCCCATGCTACCTCTGAACACAGTGTGGTAGATGGCTTTTTCTTTGCAGGGTACTGGGGAAAGTAACCGTAAGCCTAGGCACGCAAATCAAGAGCCCCATCCCTGAGCTGAACGCCAGCCCAGGGAAGCGGGGAAACTGGTAGTGTCTTCAGTGTCTGTTCCAGTCGGCAGTGTCTGTCCTTAGGATGATTGTGGCTGGGGAGTGTAGGGTGTTAATGACACCCTAGAGCATCCTGGCCTGTCCGCACCCTGTTTTCTGTCACTTGCTTTGTCTTTCAGGAGGAGACCCCTTTCTGAGCAAGCGGGAGCTCCCTTGTCTCCACATGGAGGCTGCGTTTTTGTGACCCCCATTCCAGTGTACCCCATTCCTGCTCAGTGCACCCCTGGCCCTTTCTCCTGAGGGTATTAGATCAGAAATGGCCTTCTCACGGCCTCATGTATTCCAACACCTGGTCAGAGGTGTGAGGGTCTACTTTTTTTAAACTGATTTAGCAACACAAGAAATCAAAATATTTCTGTAGGTTGGTTGTTTGGACCAGTAAAAAATGACCCAGGGTGTCACTTTTAAATGTAATAATATCTGTATATTTTGTTTTGTTTTGCAGTGCTGGGGATTGAACCCAGAACCTTCATATTGTGCTGCACCGCAGCCCTTTTTTATTTTTTATTTTGAGACAGAATCTCACTAAGTCACTATTTTATCTAGGCTGGACTTGAACTTGTGATCCTCCTGCCTCAGGTTTCCAGAATGCTGGTATTACAGGGATGTGCCAGTGCACCCAACTGAGACTCTATTTTTTATTTTATTTATTTATTTTGGTGATATTAGATATCAAACCCAGCTTTACACACGCTAGGCAAGTACTGTACCAGGAAGTCACACTTACCCTATCCCTGGAGTCCATTTTAAATTAAAATATTTCCACTTTTATATTTCCATTTATTCAGTGTTTGCTGAACATAAGTAAGATCATTATTTCTTTTTTTTCCAAGGTGAGAAAACTGTAACAACATTAGAAGAATTCCCATGTCCAGGCTCTTACCTGCTTTACCTTTTTTATTTCAGATTATACTCAGCTGAGCATGGGGCTTCAATATATTATTTATAGATATCAGGGGTCAAAAGAAACACCTTGTAGATATTTCACATCTACACATCTGCAAGATGGAATAGTCATGGGTGTTTTGTGATGCATGTTCTGTCACCAGTATTTTCAATCAATTTCTTTGCTTTCATTTTTGCTATATTTGCCTTAGAAAATAATAGTCCTCCCAGAGCCCAGGCTGGTGGCAGACATGTTCTTGTGCTTCCCAATAACTCCATTACTTTGGATGGTTCAAGCTCTACCGATGACCAAGGAATTGCATCCTATCTGTGGATCCGGGATGGCCAGAGTCCAGCAGCTGGAGTGAGTACTTACAGGGCCTCGCCCCTGTCTGCTTTTGTGCATTTGTATCAGTCAGCCTGGGCTGCCACAGCAAACCTTCATGGCCAGATGGCTTCAACAACAGGAATGTATTTTCTCACAGTATAGGAGGCTGGGAGGACACTCCCAAGGGACTCTCGTCCCGGTACTTCCATTTCCTGTGAGGTGTCTCTTCTTGGTACTTCTGTTTCCCATCCAGTTTGCAAATGGCAGTTTTCTCACTATGTCTTCACCTGGCAGGGACAGAGAGGAGGTGGAGACACTAGCTCTCATCCCTCTTCCTAGGGGGACTGTCATCCTTTTGGGTCAGGACCCACCCTTGTGACCTTGTTTTACCTCAGTTACCTCCGTATAGTATGGGGCCTGTCTTTAGGTATATTCCTGGGGCCTGAGGGACACACTCTGGTCCAGAGCAATGTTTCTGTTAGGCCCTCCTCTCCACAGGAAGGTGGCTGTGCTTCTGTGTTATGGTGTTTTGAGGGCCAGCAAGCTGCTGTCAGATTTAAGCAACACTGAGGTCCTTTCAGACTTCCTTGAGCAGACTAGGGGGGTGGGTGCACAGCACATCATGTCCTGGAGGGACTTTGAAGCCAAGTTTTCTAGTGGGAAGTGTGCTGCTCGTTAGCTGTCATTCCTGTTTTGGTCTGAGTGGACCCTTCCTCTTCCTTGTATCATATCAGATGTGTGTGATGGTCAGGGGTTGCTGTGCTGTTCCACTTGCCAGGTACTCAGTGAAATGCAGAGATGGAAGGTGACTTTGTCAAAGTCAGTGAACTAATTCTTAACCCAGACAGAGGCAGGCAGGCTTTTAGCTCCTGGGAGACACTTTTACCCCATTAGATCCCTCTGCCTCTTAGGCTATAAATTCAAGTTCAACTTCCTTCCTGTTGTTGCTAAGGACTTGAGATCTGCAAGTACCTGAAATGTACCTGAGGAGGAAGCTCAGGGAAGTAAGCAAAAGTGCTCTGTGCTGTCTACAGTGCTTCTAGAATTAATCCACTCAGATGGATGGTAGATTAGCTTTTAGGTGTAGTTATAACGGATCTCTGTTCAGAGCCTTTACTTTTTAATTTTTAATTTTGAGACACGGTCTCACTAAGTTGCTAAGTTGCCCAGGCTGGGAACAGACTTGTGATCCTCCTGCTTCAGCCTTCCAGAGTGCTGAGACTCCAGGCCTGTGCCACCGGGTCTGGCATACAGTCCTTGCCTTTTATTTCCACCTTTTGTATTTGCACATTCAGAACAGGAAATGTGGGAGATTCTTCTTCTCTCATCCTTTGGAGCATCAAAGTACACAGAACAGTGGTTTTTTTATCTGGATCATTTGAAAGGCTGAATATGAAACACTTTCAGGGGACCCAAGATGAGAGAATTATAAATCAGTGTTTGAAAATAAGACCCCTGAAACCTATGCCTCACCCTAGAGGTCTTTGCCCAATTCAAGTCCTCGGCTCTGTTGGATAAAGCTGACCATTTAGCCATTCCTCAGAGGTGCTCGGTGACTGCTGTGGGAGCTCTGAGGCCTTGGGGCCCTGGGACCTGCAGGACAGGAGGTGCTGGAGGTTAGTTGTCAGCCCCTTCTGCCATCCCTGACAGTCTGCACACACAGAAGACTGGAACTGAGGTTTGCGAGCAAGAGAAGCAAGGATGCTGAGGTTGACAGCTGCCTGTGATTGTTGTTTTTTCACAGGATGTCATCGGTGGCTCTGACCGGGCTGTAGCCCTGCAGCTCGCAAATCTGGTGGAGGGTGTCTATACTTTCCGCCTGCGAGTCACCGACATGCAGGGGGCCTCGGACACGGACACCGCCACCGTGGAGGTGCGGCCAGGTGCGTTGGTGAGCTGTGAGCTCCCCGACCCAGTTGCTGCTTGGCCCTAGCTCCTGACATTGTGGGCTGGCCTGGAGGCCTCCTGTGTTGGCCCAGTTCTTGCCGCCACCTGCTGAGAGGCTTTTTATGCATTTTGTTTCATGTCCCCAAATAGATCCAGCCTCTCTCAGAGCTCAGTAAGAACTGTCACTGGCATCAAGATTTTCTTTTCAGTGTTACTTTCCTGCCAGAATAAAACTGTTTGTGTGATGGGGACATAGTGACTTCAGTGCTGGGTCTCGGGGGGTTGGTGGCCGCTCAGTGAGATGCCGTGATGCCCAGTGGAGACCAGGCTGGCAGTGGTCATGGCAGGAAGACAGAGCTCTTCTGGTCCCAGCGAAGTATGTGAGGGGCGGGAGTTTGAAGTTGGTTTAGAGGCTAATTAGATGCACTTGGTTATCTTCTGGGGAAGAAATTAATAGACAACAAAATGGGACAAAACAGAAAAAGTTCTCCCAGAGAGCGGCCCCCAGGGTGTCAAGAAGGATTTACGCTGACAGCCAACTCTGGCTGTGGCACAGAGGGTGGCTCTGAACTGTGCACTGCGCAGCTGCGAGCGCTGAGCAGAAACCCTGCATCTCCCTTTTCGCAGACCCCAATAAAGGGGGCCTGGTGGAGCTCATCCTGCAGGTGGGCGCCGGGCAGCTGACGGAGCAGCAGAAGGATGCCCTGGTGCGGCGGCTGGCCACGCTGCTGGGTGCACTGGACTCGGATGTCAGGGTGCAGAAGATCCAGGCCCACTCGGATGTGAGGTGCGTACGGGCTGCCTGCCCCAGGCAGGACCTCAGCCCCCAGAGCTTCAGCTCTTTCTGCATCTGATTAGCAGAACACCACCCACGCCCCAGCTTGTTCCTGTGCACACCTTTATCCTACTCCACTCATAGGCTTTTTTTTTTCTCAAAAGACAGAATACGGACATATCTTTCTAAGTCCATCCCTCCAGTCTTGGTAAATGCTTATTGATTGAGAACGCTCTGAATGAAGGACCTAGGGAGCATGAGAGGGAGCTGATGTTAGGCTCTAGTATTTTCAGAGGGCCTGCAAGTGGCCTGGGGCCTGTGAAGAGCCAGCACCATCGCCAGACTTTGTCCCTGTCCCTCGTTCACAGGGACTGCAGCTTCCTTCAGTGTGAAAGGCTCATTGCTTGCCATTTGCTTTCGTCTAAGGATGTATGAGCATGAAATTCTGGTATTGAATTCTTATAAGATTTTTGCATTTGCCGGGCACTCACCTATAATCCTAGCACTCAGAAGGCTGAGGCAGGAAGGACAGCTGTGAGTCCAGGACCAGCCTCGCTGTATAGTGAGTTCAAGGCCAACCTGAACTACATAGCAAGACCCTGTCTCAAACAGACAAACAAAAAAGATTTTTTGATTTCATTGAGCTTTTAGTTTTGAATTCTTATCTGACTGGAATGGGGTTGGAGGTGAGAGAAAGAACATGGGAATGAAAATCTACCTTTCACAGTGATTCCACAATGTGAGAGCTATTGTCAGATTTTCTCCTTAGGTTAGTTTTCCAGAGAACTGAGATTTATTTAGAAAAATACCGAACAAAGCCACATTCAGGGCTGGGACGTAGCTCAGTGGCACCGTGCCTGCTTTTGTGCTGCGGATTGAAGCAAGGGCCGTGCACATGCGAGGCAAGCACTCCTCCTCTGAGCTAGACACCCACCTCTCCGATAACTTAAGGAGCTCTTTCTAACATGGGGCATACATTTTTTCCTTACTTGCCCTTACTGTTTGTAGTACATAATGATTATATTCATTGTAGGAAGCTGGTACGTTTACATAACATCTTATTCTTTTTTAAAATCCCTTTGTTCACCCCTCCATCCATCTTCTAGTCCCCTTCCCATTTGCAAAAGCTCTACCTGGTTGTTTCTTATTATCTATTATTTTTTTCTTTAATTTATTTATAATGGGTTTTTCATATAAAAGAAAGCCTGTGATATTTAAGCTTATGCATCTGATTTATTTTACTTAACATTGTGGTCTCAAGATGCATTCATTTTCCTACACATAACTCAAGTGTATCATTCTTTATGGTGGAGTTGTACTCCGCTATGTCTAAATACTACAATTTCTTTCTTTGTTCACTTGTTGATGGACATAAAGGCCACTTTGAAGATTTAGCTACTATAAATTGTGTTGCTATAAACATGGATATACATGTGTCATTATTATATGATGTGTTTTAACTCAAGAAGATACCTGAAGAGAAATAGCTGGATCAGTGGAATTTCTGTTTTCAATTTTTTGAGGGATCTCCATACTGATGTCTATAGTGGTTGTACTAGTTTACACTCCCACCAGCAGTGTAGAAGAGTTCTGTTTTCCTCATACCCTTGCTAGCATTTTTTTGCTATTTGATTTCTTGATAGCCATTCTTTCTGGAGTAAGATGAAATCTCAGTAGTGTTTTAATTTCTATTTCTGTAATAGCCAACAATGTTTAATATTTTTTCATGTATTTGTTGGCCATTTGTACTTCTGAAGAAAAGTGTCTGTTCATATCAGTAGCCCATTTTTTGATTGGATCTTTTATTTTGAGGAATCTAACTTTTTTTGTTTTTTATATGTTCTAGATATTTGTCGTGTGCACAAGGCATAGCTGAGAAAGTGTTTATCCATCCTGTACACTGTCTCTTCATTCTGTGATTGTTTCTTTTGCTATTCAGAGCTTTTTAATATGATATAAGCCCACTTGTATGTTATTTCTTTTTTCTTTTCTTTTTTGGTTTTTTGAGACAGGGTCTCACTGTATAGTTGACACTGACCTGGAACTCACTATGTAGCCCAGGCTGGTCTCGAACTCACAGCGATCCTCCTGCCTCAGCCTCCTGAGTGCTGGGATTACAGGCGTGTGCCACCACGCCTGGCTGTGTGTTATTTCTTGTGCAATTAGGGTTCTGTTCAGAAAGTCCTCACCTATTCCTGTGTATTCAATAGTTTTACTTATTTCATGTTCCAGCAGATTAAATGTTTCTGTTTTAATGTTTAGGTCTTTGATCCACTTTTATTTTAGTGTAGTGCATGGTGAGAGATGGGGTCTAGATTCAATCTTCTGCATGTGGTTAGCCACTTATCCCAATACTCTTTGTTAAAGAGGCCATCTTTCCTCCAGCATATGTTTTTGGCTTGTTTGTTAAAGATCAGATGGCTGAACACGCCTGGAGTTGTTTCTGCATCCCCTATTTTGTTTCATTGATCTGAGTGTCTGTTTTTGTGCCAGTACAATGCTGTTTTTATCCCTGCAACTTTGTAATATAACTCAAAATCCAGGGTTGTGATGCCTTCTGCTTTGCTCTTATTGCTTAGGATTGTTTTTACTTCTGGTTCCATATGAACTTCAGGATTTTTTTTCCGTAGTTCTGTGAGGAATGATGTCAGTATTTTGATTGGCATTACATTGAATTTGTGTATCGGTTTTGGTACTGTGGCCATTTTGGCAATTTTAGTACTCTTTCCCTTTCCATTTGAGGAGTATTGGTGTTAGATCTTCCCTGAAGTTCTTATAGAATTGAGTGGAGAATTTATCAGGTCCTTGGATTTCCTTAGTTGGTAGATTATTTTTTATTACTGCTTCAATGTTATTGTCTGTTATTATACTGTTGAGAGTTTTTTATCTTCTTTGTTCAGTTTTATTAATTTATATGTATCTAGGAACCTCCATTTCTTCTGGATTTTCCAATTTACTGGAGTACAGGTTTTCAAAGTAGTTACAAATAATCTGGATCTTGGCAGCATCTGTTGTGACTTTGCCATTTTCATTTCTAATTGTATCATTTGTGTGTTTTCTTTCCTTTTATTTGGTAAGGTTGGCTAGGGGTTTATCTAATTTGTTTATTTTTTTTGAAGAACCATTTCTTTGATTCATTAATTCTCTGTGTTTCTGTCTCAATTTCATTTATTTCAGTTCTCCTCTTTATAACTTCATTTCTTGCACTACTTTGTGTTTAGATTGTTCTTATTTTGCTAGGACATTGAGATGCATCCTTAGGTTGTTTATTTGATCTTAATCTGTTTTTCTTATGTGGGCATTTATAGCTATAAATTTCCCTGTTAGGATTATTTTTATTGTGTTGCATAGGTTGTGGTATGTTGTACTGGTATTACCATTTGATTTTAGTAACTATTTTCTTCCTTGATTTCTTCTGAGACTCATCCATTATTCAAGAGGGTATTATTTAATTTCCATGTGTTTGCATAATTTCTGTTGTTTCTTTTGCCAGTGATTTCTACTTTCATTGTACTATGATCTGATAATGTGCATGGGATAATTTTGATTCCTTTGTATTTACTTAAGCCTGCTTTATGGGTTAGTCGTGGAGAAAGTTCCCTGTGGTGCTCAGAAGAATGTGTATTTTGTTGTTGGGTGGAATGCATTGTAGATCTCTTTTAAGTCCATTTGTTCAAAGGTTTGGTTCAACCCTGATATTTCTTTGTTGATAATTTTGTCTAGTTGATTTGTTTGTGACAGTGGTATATTAAGGTTGTCCACTATAATTGTGTTGATGTTTATCTGATCTTTTATACCCAGTAGTATTTTTTTATTAAGTTGTGTGTACTAGTGTTTGGTACACGTATATTTATAGTTGTTATCTCCTTCTGTTGAATTATTCCCTTAAACAATATGTAATGACCTTCTTTGTCTCTCTGAGTAGTCTTGGCTTGAAGTACACTTTGAAGATAGGATAGGTACTCCTGCTCGTTCTCAGGCTTCCGTTGTGTGGAATATTATTTTCAATCCTTTGATTTTCAGTCTATAAAAGTAGTTTTGGGTTTAATGTGTTTCTTTTATATAGCATACCCTTAAGTTTTGTTTTTTGATCCAACTTCCAGTCTTACCTTTTCATTGAGAAATTGAGACCATTCACATATTGAGAGTTATTACTGAAAAGTATTTATGCTTGGGATTGTATTCTTTTCCTGTTGCTAGTTCCTTAAACTCCCCCCTTCTGCTTAATTCCTCACCTCGCCTGCTGTATTCAGTCCATTAGACTTTTGGCATTGTTGACTTCCTTGTCTCTTTTGAGGATATCCTTGAGAAGTTTTTGTCATGCCAGTTTGGTGGACATGAATTTCTTAAGGTATTCTTTGTCAGGGAAAGACTTTATTTCTTCATCAGTTTGAAAAATACTTTTGCAGGAAGTTGTTTCCTTTTAGGATTTGACATGCTTCAAGGTTCTCCTGGCCTTTAAGGTTTGTGTTGAGAGGTCTACTCTAACCCTAATTGCTTTACCTTTATATTTGGTGTTGTTTCTCTCTAACAGCTTTTAAGATTCTGTCCTTGCATTGGCCATTGGGAATTTTGACTTATGATGGGTTGTGGAGTTCTTTTCTGACATGGCTATTTCTGTATGCCTTACTTATCTGTATGTATCTTTCCCTCCATTTGGGAAGTTTTTTGCTCTTAGTTCTGTAAACAGATTTCTTACGACATTTTTTTCTGTCTTCTGACTTTTCACTAATGCGTGTAATCCTGGGTTAGTCGTCTGTGCAGTCTCGTCGCTGTCAGATGTGTTTTCTATGTCTTCTTGTTGAGGTGTCTCGGTACAGTACAGGGTCACCGGCATCAACCCTGTCTTCTAGTTCTGATGCTGTCATCACACTGTTGCTTCTGTACTTTGAAGAGAATTTTTAATCCCCCACCTGTACAAGGCCCTAGGTTCCATCCCCAGCACCACAGGAATGAAAGAATGAATGAAGCAAAAAAGGAGGACTTGTCCGGAAGTTACCACTTCCCAGATGTTGTGTGTTTGCCCCTACGTGGGTTGCTCGTCTGTGAAGGTCTGTTTGTGTGTCATCAGCTTCACTGGGGACCAGAGAGAACAGAAATGGTTCCTTGGTCCCTGGCCTAGCCTGGCCTCTGAGCCTCTCGACTTCTGGGTCAGAGGCCCAGGGGGACATGTCTGTCTCTCTGTCCCTTCTGCAGCACGGCAGTTGTGTTTTATGTCCAGAGTGGGCCGCCGTTCAAGGTGCTCAAGGCTTCCCAGGTGGCCCGGAGCCTGCACAGGCGTCTCTCCAAGGAGAAGGCCGACTTCCTGCTCTTCAAGGTCTTGAGGATTGACACCGCAGGTACGCCCCCTAGGAGTGTCTGGGAAGAGCGGGCCTTGCCAGTCAGTGGTGTGTTTTACTGACACAGGAAGAGGTGTGACCCCAGGGGAGTCTCACCCTGGCACCCAGGGACTTATTTTGCTTTTATTTCTCAAGTAGGTTTCTGCTACACACATTTGCCAACTATTTTGTCTTGGGAGGAAACTGATAGTCATGGGTCCAAAAGAAATTATTTTTAAGTTTTTGAACAGGGTTTTGCAGTGTTGCCCAATCTGTCATTCTTCTGGACTCAGGCAATCCTCCTGCCTCAGCCTCCAGAGTAGCTGGAACTACGGATGTGCATCAAAGCTTTTGAAAATTGAAAGTGGTTTATACGTGCCTTTCAGTTTTAGCTCTTTTCTTAGCACCTTGCTCTCTACCCCTTCAGGACTGAATTCCCTATTCATGGCCTTGTCCCCATCTCCTGGGTCACTTGAATGAATATTACATCCAAGTGGTCATTTCAGCTAGAGTTATAAAGGCTGCAGCAATGTTTGGTCAGTAAATTTAATGTGTTTCAAGTATATGTCAGGCTGTTACTGACTTTCTCAAATATAATGTGGAGTAAAATTTTTAAATAACTTCATTTTTCCTAGCTACAAAAGTGCTTATTTTAGGAATTTGAATTATCCAGAAAGGCTTAAAGAAGAAAGTAATCCTCCAGATTGTAAAGTCTAGAATTCCCATTGTCCAAAGAACTTTTATGAATATCCTGATTTATTTCTTTTTCTTTTTTTGAGACAGGGTCTCAGTTTGTAGTTCAGGCTGGCCTCAAACTCATGGCGATCCTCCTGCCTCAGCCTCCTGAGTGCTGGGATTACAGGTGTGCATCACTATGCCCGGCTTCCTGATGTTATTTCTTTCCACTTGCTGCATCTCTAGAAACATGTAATACAATCAGGATGGTTTGATAATGTGTTTTTTAAACTTCAAATCATACTACCATCATTTCTCAAATCCTTCATATCTCTTAGTGAGACATTTTTTGACTGAATGGTTCCTCCCTGGGTATTACTGGTAATTATGCAGCTAGCCTCTATGAATGGATTTAAAGATTGATTTCAGATAATATTATAATAAAAAAACATGTTTGTGCATAGTCCCAATTATTTTCACTGGATGCCTTCTCAGAGTTTATTTTCTTAGGGCAGAGGGTGCAGTGATTTTGCTGCTTTTTAAGGCGTCTGCTCTCTGTTGTGCTTTGGCTTTTACTGCTCTTTGCTTCCTGGTGAGGTTCTTGGGGACCAGCGAGTCCCAGTAGCCCTGTCCATGCCACAAGTGATTCCTCCTTCAGCAGCCTTTGGGCTTGCGCTGTTGAAGGAACAGAAGAGGAAGAACCAGGGGACCCTTTCCCTCTGCTGTGACCTTAGCCTGCCACCTCTTTGCAGGTTGCCTTCTCCCATGTTCTGGTCACGGCCACTGCGACCCCATCACCAAGCGCTGCGTGTGCTCCGCGCTGTGGATGGAGAACCCTGTACAGCGGTATCTGTGGGACGCGGAGAGCAACTGTGGTGAGTGTCAAGGTGGAGGGGCTGTGTTCCTGGGGGTCAGAAATACCCGCCTGGCCTTGCAGCTGTAAACTTTCAGCTTGTTCTCACCTGAAGCCAGGTGAGCCGTGTACTTGGTAGTAAGACCCCTCCACAGTGCACCTTTGCGGAGTGTGTCTGGGCTCATGTGGAGGACTCTCCAGGAAGGAGATGCACTTGGCAGCACTTTCGCCCTGTTGCTGGCATTTTTAAGAAAGAGCTGCTCTGGACCATGGCTGCATTTCCAGATTGCAGCTCCCTTGGGCTTCTGGGCTATGTCCTCTAGGCTGGACCCTCTGGAACCAAAGAAGAAAATCCAGCCCACTCTCCCAGCTGTCAACCCGAGTGAGCACCCAGGACGGGAACCCCAACATCAGCCGCCAAACTGGAGCTCTGCTGGCTCTCTTGGGGCCAAAATGACATGTCCCTGCCAGTCTACTGCCAAGAGTACACAGGTGGGCGTGTTTGGCAGAAGAGAAGGTCAGAGCTGGCTGCCAAATGCTGCTCCTTCAGACACCGCATAGACATTTGGCTAAATTTGCAAATAGCCAGCTTTTGGTCCACTGTTCCAAGGAGTGCAGTATTAAGCCTGTGTTTTTACTCCATCAGCTTCTCTGCACCCAGATTACTGTTATAGGCTTTTTACATCAGATTTCTGCAGGGAGGAGGAAGGCCTGAAGACCAGGAGTTTCCAAATTGCCCTCTGGCTTAATAGCGTCTTTTGTGCCACTGGCAGCCAGACAGACACTTGAGTGGCTTCCTTAAGACAAAGCCAGGACTTTTGTGGGAGGGCTGTGATTCTTGGGATTCTGGAAGGTAGGTTTTGATGTGGCCCACGTGTATGAATAAGAGGTATTCCTAATTCACTGTTAACTAATGTTCACTGATGTAGATTATTCTGTTCTTGAGAGTCGTGTGTGCTCATGAGGTCCCTGATCTGAATGAATGGCCAACGGCAAGGCAGTGGGTTTGCTCTCCATGCATTTGTGTGTTGTCCTCCTGTTCTCTGCAGCCAGTCCCCAGGTGCTGTCAACACCGATGGCTCTGCTCGGGAAGACTCGGAAGCATTTCCTGTGAATCATCACAACAAGGGGGTTTTGCGAGTAGCATATAACCATGCCCACTGTGGTCTTCTGGTTTTCAGAGTGGAGCATCCTCTATGTGGCTGTGCTGGCTTCCGCTCTTGCAGTGCTCATGGGAGGCATAGCCTGGCTTTGCATCTGCTGCTGCAGGAGGTACTGGCGCGTGTATTTGTTCCTGGGAAATAGGGGCACCTCATCAAGTACAGCTCAAACATTGTTTGCTGGGATTTGCTAAACTGCTGAACCATCGGACAGTCACTCTGCCACCAGGCACATGGGCCTAAGTAGTGGGTTGGTCCTGGGAGTGGCTCTCTCCTCCAGCGCTCACATCCTGAGAGGGCCGGCAGCTCTGCATCTTCTTAGTGTGACACAGGTTCCCTGAGTCCCACTTCAGGGCCCTGCAGGTCTCAGCAGGAAAAGGAGTTCTAGAGCTATGCTGGTACACTTGGTAGAGTTTGATTTTTTAATTACATGAACCAACAATCTGATTTGTCTGAATCTTTTCTAATATATTCAAAACTTAAAGTGAGGCAGTAATTGCACCACAGAGAACTTCTGTGTTAGGTCTTTTCCTTCTTTTTTCTTCAGAGCTGACCTCTGAGCAGCCCCTGAGCTCCTTCATGGTCTGAATCTTCCCGAACCTCTTGCTCCACACTTTGTGAGGAGATTAGTAGGCAAAGTAATTACTTGAGTCCTCAGAAGAGAACATTGCATCCATTTTTCTATACAACACACTAAGTCCTCTCTCATAATGTGATCAAAATAATAGGAATACTAAAATTGGTAGCTAATTTTTAGAAATCACTTATGAATTATTTTAGTTTTACTAGTAATTAAGGTTCCAGTGGTGACGGGTGAACAGAGCCAGGCACTGAAAAAGCGGCTCAAACCCCATTACGTTTCCTCCAGTACCTGCGGGGTGGTGTTTGTCACCGACTGGGTGTGACTTTAACTTTCTGCAGCTCTGTGACAGGTGTGTCAAGCAGATGGCCCTCAATGCTTGCAGGGATGACTGTGGATATAAAGAACTTTTCATTGTGATTCATGGCTGAGTCCTCCCTGCAACCATCTGGGAAGGGAACAATTCTTACTCCCACTTACAGAAAAGAACGTAGAGGCAGAGAAATCTGAATAATTTTCTAAAGCCACCAGCTAATAAATGCTAAACTGGAGGTGTCAGGCCCATGGTCTGAATCCCCACCAGCCCAGAAAATTGAAATTCCTGTTTACTTTCTATGTACCTTAGCATGCATGGTTTTGATGTGTATTTTCAAGCAATCCTCTGCAGCATAGAATGAGGCACATAAAGCCAGTCCAGTTTTCATGTGCTATGAAAAAGATAACTGCTGGGTTTTGCTAAATAACTCAGGGAACTCACTGTATTATAATTTCTGCCATCTCTCTGTCCCCACTCCCACCATCTCTGGTTTCATTCCTGCATCTTTGGACATTCTAGGGCACTGTAGACTCTGGGAAACTGGTCCACCCAGGTCTTCCTGAGTATGGAGTGTCTTGTGGAGAGCCAGCTGCTCCCTGGACAACCATAGGCATTGAGGGATGCTGTGAGCGGCTCAGGAGTAGGTGAGACCTGTCGTTAGGGGGCGCTAGTGGCATGGCCGTTCACACCCCAGTGCATTTCTGCAAGGTGTTTCTGCAGAATGTACTTAAGCACCAGCCTCGCACATACCTCATCCAGAAGATGCTGTGATGCCAAGTACTAGATCCTAAAGGCAAAACATTTCCCATAGTGTCTTCCATGTATTTCAAATCCTATATCTTGGTTACCATTCTGAAAACATGAGCTGAGCTTTTCATTATTCCTTTCAGAAGAAAAAGGACTAAAATAAGGAAAAAAACCAAGTACACCATCCTGGATAACATGGATGAGCAGGAAAGAATGGAACTGAGGCCCAAATACGGTAAGACGGTCTCCGGGTTATCATGCCCAGGTATTTGCCCGAGCGTTCACTTGGCTTTGATGAAGACAAATGAGCCGCAGTCAGCCCTTCGATTAGGTAGAGATGGGGAAGTCTGCAGAAAAAGCCACAGCCAGTGATCCGAAACATGTGCTTTGGTGGCATGGGGGCAGTTGCTGCACCTGAAACGAAATGATGTTTGGCAAAGCACTCTGCGGCACTTGGGGTGAGGGACGGGAAGGGCCTGTCATTCCCTGGTCCCTGCTGAGTGGCCATGGGGCAAACAATGCTTCCCCACAGAAGCATCCCCCATGCTTTGCACTGTGCTGGGACAGTTGTGCACACCCCCACCCCTCAGTTCGTCTCTGAATGCCATGCCCCTTAGTCTCTCTGACCAGACACACAGCCGGAGGACATTGGACTTTAAAAACAAACATTTTTCAGCAACTGCCTTTGCTACACTTGTGCAGAAGATGACTCTTCACAAAGCGTATGACTCCACAGTTTAGGACCATGCCTTGCCCCCCTCAGTTGACTTCTGGATTCTCATTTTTAACTGCTGAATCATTAAAGTGCTTTCTCTGGCCCCCTGAGGCCGTGTGGCACTGGCCCCGCGGTCTGTAATTCAGGGTTTCTGACTCATTCTTTCTGAGGGACATAATCACTTGCAGAGCTATCCGGCGGCAGTGATGAGAGCCTGCCCCATGTGTGGCCACCGGGCAGCCTTGGAGATGGAGGGTATGAGGCCTCGGCCTGAGGGAGTGAGGGAGGCTCCTGATCCCAGGGTACGGCAAGTCCTGCCAAGACCCGGGGACCAATTGTGTGTGGAAAGTGGAGCTAAGAGGTGCTGCCAACGGGTGACGCAGGAAACAAACAGGAGTGACCATCATTTATGTCACATAATTTAGTGCCTAAGAGCTCAAGGTGCCTTGGGTTGTTTCATCTCACCTACCTTCCACCTTGAGCACACCGGCCCCTTTTCTCTCCTACTTCCTCAGGTTTAGAGCCTTCGTCTCCAGTGCCCCTTCCTGCTCTACCTAGCTGCCCTGTCTCACCTTGTCTCTTGCATACTTCTCTTCTTCATTGGCTTCATCCGCCACACTGGCTCAGTTCCTTCCTCTTTTTTTTTGGTCCAAGTCCTCTTTCTTCAAATCCCATCCTATTTTCAGAGCAATGGCAGCCACCAGCACGTGCTGGACTTGTCTTGTTGCATGCCAGACTTTTTATTTCTTACCTCTTGTGAGCCACCATCTCAGGGTGTGTGTTTTTGAGACAGGGTCTCACTATGTAGTTCAGGCTGGGATTGAGCTTATCGTGTAATGCAGGCTGACCTCAAATTTACAGTGATCCTCCTGCCTCAGCCTCCCAAGTGCTGGGATCATAGGGCTGTGCCACTAGGCCAGGCTGGTTCAGCTCCTCCTAATCTGACCTCTAAACTAGCAGTAATAACAATAATTTTAAACAAGTATTCCATGCTTAAGGCATTCTGGATATCTTCAACACACTGCCCATTTAATCCTAATCCTAATCCTAATCTAAGTTGAGCATTATAAAGGATGAACTGTGATTCTCCCCGTTTTACAGGAGAGGAAACTGAGGCACAGGAAAGTCTGGCAGTGTACCTGGGTTAACAGCTGAGTGCCCATGGTGGGGGCAGCTGGCCTTTCACCCTCTGCCCCACTCTGTCTTAGTCCCTCTGCTGCGTGAGCGAGTGGCACAGACTGGGTGGCTCACAGCATGATGTGCAGGCCTCACGGATCTGGAGCCTGGGAAGGGGCAGGGCCATTCTGTGTGGCCTTTTGTGTGGACACCAGTCCCGGTGTCACCTCCCAGAGGCCCCACCTTTCTGTACCATCACCTTTTCTGGGGTGACACACAAGATTTTTGTATGACAGAGCTTTCAGACCACAACAGCTCATGTCTGCAGTTGGTTCTCTGGTGCCCTCTTTCCCTGCACACTGTGGTTCTACTCATATTCTAACACATTTTCAAAATGCCATTCCTTTGCTTATGGGATAAAATCCAAACTTAATGGTTTGCCTGTGGTACCGTGCTCTAGAATCTGCATGGCCTAAGGTCTCTCTGCACAACCTAAGCTGATCTGAAACTCTTAGGTTCAAGCACTCCTCCTGCCTCAGCCTCTTGAGTAGCTGGGACCAAGGCATGTGCCATCATACCCAACTCATTTGCCAGACTGGTTTTCTCTACACTTTTCTGGATGTTTCTGAATATTTCATGCACCTTCCCTCTATCGGTGTCCAAGTCCCCCTCTTCAAATCCCATCCTATTTTCGGAGCAATGGCAGCCACCAGCACGTGCTGGACTTGTCTTATTGCATGCCAGACTTTTTATTTCTTACCTCTTCTGAGCCACCATCTCAGGGTGTGTGTTAAACCCCTGGCTAGACTCTAGAAGTTTTAAGAGGAGGGAGCATAGCTTCTTCCTGTTCTCTCTTATTTTGACCCTCAGAAATAAAAGCTACTCAGCACTTGAATGAACTCACTAGCAAACTCCTGACAACTTTCCTTTCTCCAGTGTTTACTGCACACTTAACGCTGGGCCAAGGCACTGAGGTGCTGTCTCATTTAATCCCAACCTTAAACCCCTGAGTAGTACACTCCCCTTTTGTGTGGACCTGTCTTTTGTTATATCCCAGTTTAATAAAATGAGGAGAAAGGAAAGCCCAGAGAGGAGGTTAAGTACATGCCCCGTGGTCACACAGCTGGCAAGTGTCAAAGCTGGGCCTCAAGCCCCTGTGACTGCATCCTGGGAATCCCGCATCACCTGCTGCATTGTGGGTAATTGCGTTGAAAGTGAGAGGGCACAACCCCCTGCCTTTCATGTCAGCTGCAGCCCGAAGGACAGGGCTGTTTCTTCTATGACCGATGCTTCTCCTCAGGTCTCAAGCACTGCAGCACAGAGCACAACTCCAGCCTGATGGTATCCGAGTCAGAGTTTGACAGTGACCAGGACACCATCTTCAGCCGGGAAAGGATGGAGCAAGGGGACGCCCAGGGTTCCATGAACGGCCCTGTTGAGAACGGCAGCTCCTTCAGCTACTGCTCAAAGGACAGATAATGGTGTGACACTGAGGCGGGATGCCCTCTGTGGCAGTTCACACGTGGTACTAACTCTCAGTGGCAGTTTATTGCGCCCTTCCACAGGGTGGCTGTGTGTCCCCATGGAGTACAAGACTGCTTTCTTGGAGTTTTCAAGATAAAAGGAAACAACTTACTGACCTTTTAACCCGGACGCTTATTAATAGGAATAAAGGCTGGGTAAAACTTCTAAGATACATGCTTAGAAGAGTTTTGTAAGTTTAAAGCTTCTATCCTTTCATACTGCCGCGTTAAAATAAAGGTGAACGCCTGTTTCTCTGCGTGGAACCTTAGGGAGGGTGACTTAAACAAGGTGTTGGGACAGCTGATCACCCTTGGCAGCTGCAGTCGCCTCTGAGGACAGTGGCTGTGCAAGGCTTCTGCAGCACGACCTGCAGCTGGACAGCTGGATGGAACTTCCCAAGGCAGTCTGAGCCCTCTGTGCTGAGCTTGATGCCTTTCCATGCCTTTGCCACAGCCAGTACTGGGTGTGCTTTCTGGAAACCTTCAGAACTGAGGAAGAACTGAATTCTAGGGACAGGAGGAACAGCAGGGGAGTCAGGGTTTCAGGACTTGGGGGTTCAAAGTTGACTGTAGCATTTAACATCCTTTGTCTTTTCATTCTCTAAGAAAAACAAACTACACTGAGACCTCTCAGCTCCAGCCTCTCTCATCAGCAGTAGAATGGACTAGTAATCCACTGAACACCTAGTAAGTACGTAGTGTTCACTGTGCATTTGGACTGCCACGAATAGAGGTATAGACTCTCAGGCTGTGTGTCGGTTCTGAAGCTCTGAGAACAGCCAGTCCTGATGGAAACAGGGTGGTCTTGATATCGCTGGACTTCAAGTGCTTTCCAAAGAGTACCGGGACATAGACATCTGCACCGCATATGTTTAAAAAGTATTTAAAAAGAAAACAAAAAGACATTTATTAAAACAGCTTTTTAAATCTTACTGTAAACATATGGAAAGAATCAAACCATTTCTACCCACAAAGTAGCACCCCAGAGCAACTGACTGAAATTAATTGTCATTGGGCACAGTGGTGCATGCCATTAATCCCAGCACTCCAGGAAGCTGAGGCAGAATTCACAAGTTTGAACCCAACTGGGCAACTTAGTAACTTGATAGGACCTTGTCTCAAAGTAAAAAATGAAAAGGGGCTGGGAATGTACCTTAGTGCAAAGATGCTAGTTTCAATGCCAAGTACCACAAAAAACATCAAGTAGCCTGCCAAGCTGATTGGCTCCTGGAAGTCCCAGCCACCCATGGTCCTGAGGCTGTGGCCTTGGTAATGCCTGGGGCATTCTTTGTGGGAAGAGTGGAAGGAGAGAAAGCCAGTGTCATGGCATCAGATGTGGCCGCTCTTAGAGTACATCCTGTTGCATGTGCTTCATGACCTGCAGTGTAGCTGGGGTGGCCCAAGGTCACACCCCAAGTGGTGGATGTGGGGATGGAATGCCACGTCTTACTCCACCGCATAGAGAACTTCCACCCTAAATGTTGGAGGATAAGATCTGCAGGACCCTCGGAGCCCCTGAGAGATCTGTTCCTGGATTTAGTGGAAGCTCTTTTAACATGGCCAAGAGCGAAAGCCACAGAGGCAGAGTGCCTACCTGTTCCTCCTGTTAGCGCTCCTCTGGGCCGCCCCTCCCTGGACTTCGCCTTTTCTGCCACTGGTCATCTCAGCCTGACCTTTCTAACCCTTCCACCATAGAGGAGTCTTGAATCTGTGGGGGATTAAAAAATCCACAGATCAGAAAGAGGGTCCTTTTCATTATCCTACCCCTCATAAGAGGATGAGTAGTGTGGCCACCTGGCAGTCTCCGTCTTGTGCTAATTGTCCTTAAGGGTCTTTAGGAGATGCAGCACTCCAAGAACTTTGGGTAAACAGACAGATGGGTCTCTAGAGTGTGGAGGACGTGTGTAGGGCTCACAGCCTCACAACACTAATAGTTGCTGGTTTAGACTGAAAGAAGAGTAGCTGAGCCTACAGTCTTAGGCCACACGTTTATAACTGCAGAATCTCCTTAAGACAGTTTATCACTCAACAGGCCAGGCCTGCCCTGGTGAAGGTGGGGAGGAGGAGCGCCAGTGTTTTTGAGTGTGATCAAGTTATGGGCTCTGTTCTAAGTCTTGGTTTTGTTTTCAAAAATGTGTGATTTTCCCCATGTATCGACAAGGTATAATTGCTAATGTAATGCTATTAAATACACACACACACACTAATCTGCATAGAAGTGTCTGTATTTTCTGCCGTGCACCCCCCCCAATTTAGTTATAAGCCAATTTTACTTAAATCAGGACTGTCTAACAAAAATATTCTGTCAGCCACTTATGATCTGAATTCTGGTGTATGAAATCTATTAAATTATGGTACACATAAAAAGCCATGAGACATTTCTTTTTTGCAACACAGCAGGCAGTGACTGTTACTCATTAGTAGCTTTTTTTGAGGTAAGCTAGTTAGTCTGCCCTTGCTCCCTTCTTATGCCAGTGAAGATCATTTTTGTTCTAAGGATGTACTTCCTGGGATTCTCCAAATATTCTGTCAGTGTCTCCTCTCCCCAGGTGATGCCTTTGATCTTGGCATCTGGGTAACAAGCTGACGTCTTCAGACCACGGAGATGGTGCCTGCCTCCCTTCTCCACAGTGTGGCACCGGCACACTTCTGTACAAAAATATTGCCTTTCTAAACATCACCCGTTTTCAAATTGCTCTTTCGTTGTTACCCCAAGAAAGGTTCCAGCTCAGAAGCTGGATGTCCTACTCTTAAACTGTTTGTTTAAAAGTAGTATTTTTTTATGCTTCCACATAGAGGGAGTCTCCTGAGTATGGGTCAGAAACTGTCACCCGTAGTCTGTTTTCCCACTCCCTGGGAGCCAAAATGATTGAATAGAAATATTTTGTGTCTTATGAACTGTATGGAATAGATTTCTGTCCGTTAAGTGAACACGTCTTCACTCTGCTTTCACTTTCCACATTCACTTTGCTGCTCTTATAGCAGTTAAATTTTGACAGAACTGTCTACAGAATCTAAATGTTTACTATCTGGCTTTTCTAGAATTGTTTTTTTCTTCCCTAGAGTCACTGACACGGGCCTTGGGGAGGAAGTGCGCAGGCTCAGCTCAAGCTTCCCGCCCTCTGCAGGTCATTCTGCAGAACAAGTGCGGTGCCCCCTGCTGGGGAAGTCTGGCAGTGCAGTAGCGATAGTGGTGGTTGGGTGGTCAGACTCCGAAGAGTGTACTTAAGACATAACCTAACCCTGCTCTTATTACTAATAAAGCCAGCTTTTTAAAAAAGTGTATTGAGGTATAATTCACTACAATGAGCTGCACACGCCTAAGGCAATCTGATGTTCCGATGTGTGTGCATATCTGGGAACTCAGCCCCATAATCAAGCTCATGAGCAGGTATCACCCCCAAATTTTCCTGACACTTGGGAACCTCTCCTTTCACTCACTGGAGATTACCGTGAATAATCTAGAGTTTCATATAAATAAGACTCATACAAGACACACCACCCACTTCTGGAGTTTTCTCCCCTCAGGAAAATCGCACTTTCTATTTAGCCCATACATTGGCAATGTTGGCGAGGTCAGTGCTTGTACAGGTACAGGTGCCGGTGACAGGAGCAGGGCTGCTGTAGTAATGTGAAGGAATTAATTACACAGCTCCGGGTTTGTTGTCCATCTGTTAAGAATTCTGTAGGTTTAGCAGAAACCAGAACTGTGCTTTTTGAAAGTAAATGAACCAGATCTTCACGAGTTCTTCACAGTGGCGGGACGGGGAGGGGTGAAACCTCTGAGATGGGGTCAGTGGGAGGTAGCGCCGTCCCTGGAGACTCAGCCTCTCCCTCTTTCTGCTGCTCCCTGGCTGAGGTGGACAGCCTTCCTCTTGAGGGTGCCCCCACCATGATAGTCTGTGTCCCCAGCTCCTCAAACAACAGGACCAAGTGACCACGGATGTAAACCGTGATGGAGATGAATCATTCCTCCTTATAAATGGATTATCTCTTGTCATAGCAATGGAAAGCTGATCAAATGCACTTTCCATTGCTGAAACTAAACGTTTAAAGTTTCTGAGTGTTAATGGGATGAATGTATTTCCTCGACATTTGTATGTTGAAGTCCTAATGCTCTGTGTTCTATGATCATTTTGGAGACTACTTATTTTTTTTTTCAGCTTTAATTGAGTTTATTGGTACATTTTAGGGATACAGTACAGTTACATTCATTGTTGGGATCTTGTACCTCTACATGACAAGTCTTGATTCTCATTTTTTCCCCTTACCTCTGCCCTCCCTTCACCCCCTCCTCCCCTCCCCATCTACAAACACTTTATTTTCATCTTTTCATTCTCTCACATTTTTTTCTTTTCCCTTTTTACTCTTCCCCTACCCATCCCACCTTCCCTACACCTTTAGCTCCTTTCTTCCCATTTCTGAATGTCAGTGATCTTATTAGAATCTTATGCATTGTTGCAGAATATTCACACCAGGGAAACTATTTGGTATTTACACATGTGGGACTTATTTATTTCACTTAGGAGTATATCTTCAATATGTATCCATTTTCCTATGAATGAATCTATTCTCTCGCTCTTTATGGCTGAGTAATATTCCATTTTATAGAAAAACCACAACTTCTTTATCCAGTTTCCAACGGATGGGCAAATAGGTTGTTTCCAAGATTTAGCTATTACAAACTGTGCCGCTATAAACATGGGTGCACATACTTCTCTGTGATATGATTCTTTTAGTTCTCTTGGAAAGATACCCAACAGAGGGATGGCTGGGTCAAATGGAACCTCCAGTCCAAGCTCTTTGAGGTATCTCCATATTGATTTCCATAGTGGTTGCACTAGTCTGCACTCCCACCAACAATGGAGGAGGGTTCCTTTCTCCCCACAACCCCGCCAACATTTGTTATTGTGTGATTTCTTGATAGCAGCCATTCTTTGTGGGGTGAGGTGGAATCTCAGTGTTGTTTTCATCTGCATCTCTCGAATGACCAGTGATGTGGAACATTTTTTCATATATTTTCTTGCTGCTTTCACTTCTTTGTATGAGAAATGTCTGTTCATTTCGGATGCCCATTTTTGGATCGGGTCTTTATATTTGGGGGGACTGATTGTTTTGAGTTCTTTATATATCCTTGATAATAGTCCTTTGTCTGAGGTACAGCTGGTAAAAATTTTTTCCCACATTGTAGATTGTCTCTTAGTTCTGCTAATGGTTTCTTTTGAAGTACAGAAGCTTTTTAGTAAGATGAGATCCCAGTTGTTGATTCTTTCTGCTAGTTCCCGTGCTACTGAGGATTTGTTCATAAAGTCTTTTCCTATACCAATGTCTTCCAGAGTTCTGCCTAACTTACTTTCCAGCAAGTTTAATGTTTCTGTTTTAATATTTAGATCTTTAATCCATTTGGATTTTAATTTAGTGCATGGCGAAAGATAAGGGTCTAATTTTAATCTGTGACAGGTTGATATCCAGTTTTTCCAACACCATTTATTAAAGAGGCTATCTTTCCTCCACTGAGGATGGTGAGCTCCTTTGTCGAAGATGAGGTAGCTGAGTACATCTGCATTTGTTTTTGTGTCTTCCAGTCTGTTCCATTGATCCTCAGGCCTATTTCTTTGCCAGTACCATGCTGATTTTATCACAGTGGCTTTGTAGTATAGTTTCAAATTGGGAATTGTTACACCTGGTGCCATGTGACTGTTGCCTATAATGGCTTTTGCTATTCTAGGTCTCTTGTGGTTCCAAATGAATTTTTGGATTCTTTTTTCTAGTTCTGTGAAATATAGTGTTGGAATTTCAATTGGCATTGCATTGAATGTATATAGCAGTTTCGGTAGTATGGCCATTTTCACTATGTTGATTCTTCCTACCCAGGAGCAGGGGATATCTTTCCATTTTTTTATATCCTCTTCGATTTCTTTTTTCAGAGTGCTGTAGTTTTCAGTGTAGAGATCTTTTGTTTCTTTTGTTAGATTGATTCCTAGATACTTCATTTTTTTGGATGCTATTGTAAAAGGAATTTTTTCCCTTATTTCTCTTTCTGTCTGTCTGTTATTTGTGTATAGAAAGGCTATTGATT